AATTTCATTGGTTTCGAACGAGAGGAAAACCGAAAATAATATGTGAAATTGCACATATTACACTTATTAAAACTCATTTTCTTATCTAAAATATACTGGAATAAATTTTATACTGAGATAATAGATTTGAGATAAAAGGACATGAATTTAATATTTCAGCATGTCGTCGGAAAAATGTTCAGATTTCAACGTTAATTCAACGAATGATGGTCTGTTTAATGTAACACAGCTACGTACATCTTAATTTGAGAAAACATTTCCCTTACGTAATTCCTTTATACAGTTAAATTAAAAGGAAACTGTACATAACTTATCTATAATAGAATTAATATTTGGTCTGCAGACCGATTTGTTAAGTGATATTAGATTTCACTGACAACAAATGTTACAACACCTTGACAGTACGACCAAATCTACTATAATTGTAACTGAAAGTATATCTTTTTTTGAGATTTAACTATATAATGTCTTCATTTGAGTATTAATAATCATCTTTCCTCATTAGATCAAGCCATGGCTTATAAACATTTGAAATATTGTATGGTATACTGGGAGAACTGTGAGAATATAGGACGGTATACTGGGAGCATGTAGGATGGTATACACGGAGAATATAGGGTGGTATACTGGGAGAATATAGGATGGTATACTGGGAGAATATAGGATGATATACTGGGAGAATATAGGACGGTATACTGGGAGAATATATGGTGGTATACTGGAAGAATATAGGACGGTATACTGGGAGAATATAGGACGGTATACTGGGAGAATATAGGACGGTATACTGGGAGAATATAGGATGGTATACTGGGAGAATATAGGACGGTATACTGGGAGAATATAGGATGATATACTGGGAGAATATAGGTTGATATATTGGGAGAATATAGGATGATATACTGGGAGAATATATGATGATATACTGGGGGAATATAGGACGGTATACTGGAAGAATATAGGATGGTATACTGGGAGAATATATGATGATATACTGGGGGAATATAGGACGGTATACTGGAAGAATATAAGACGGTGTACTGGGAGAATATAGACGGTATACTGGGAGAATACAGGATGGTATACTGGGAGAATATATGATGATATACTGAGAGAATATATGATGGGTTACTGTACTGGGAGGATATATGATGATATACTGGGAGAATATAGGATGGTATACTGGGAGAATATAAGACGGTATACTGAGAGAATATAGGACGGTGTACTGGGAGAATATAAGACGGTATACTGGGAGCATTTAAGACGGTGTACTAGGAGAATATAAGACGATATACTGGGAGAATATAGGATGGTATACTGGGAGAATATAGGGCGGTATACTGGGTGAATATAAGACGGTATACTGGGAGAAGTTAAGACGGTGTACTGGGAGAATATAAGACGGTATACCGGGAGAATATAAGACGTTGTACTGGGAGAATATAAGACGGTATACTGGGAGAATTTAAGACGGTGTACTGGGAGAATATAGACGGTAAACTGGGAGAATATAGGATGGTATACTGGGAGAATATAAGACGGTATACTGGGAGAATATAAGACGGTAAACTGGGAGGATATATGATGATATACTGGGAGAATATAAGATGGTATAGTGGGAGAATATAAGACGGTATACTGAGAGAATATAGGACGGTGTACTGGGAGAATATAGGGCGGTATACTGGGTGAATATAAGACGGTATACTGGGAGAATTTAAGACGGTGCACTGGGAGAATATAAGACGGTATACTGTGAGAATATAAGACGTTGTACTGTACTGGGAGAATATAAGACGGTATACTGGGAGAATTTAAGACGGTGTACTGGGAGAATATAAGACGGTATACTGGGAGAATATAAGACGTTGTATTGGGAGAATATAAGACGTTATACTGGGAGAATATAAGACGGTGTACTGGGAGAATATAGGGCGGTATACTGGGTGAATATAAGACGGTATACTGGGAGAATTTAAGACGGTTTACTGGGAGAATATGTGATGATATACTGGGAGAATATAGGGCGATATACTGGGAGAATATAAGACTGTATACTGGGAGAATATAAGACGTTATACTGGGAGAATATAAGACGGTGTACTGGGAGAATATAGGGCGGTATACTGGGTGAATATAAGACGGTATACTGGGAGAATATGTGATGATATACTGGGAGAATATAAGACGGTATACTGGGAGAATATAAGACTGTATACTGGGAGAATATAAGACGTTATACTGGGAGAATATAAAACGTTATACTGGGAGAATATAGGACTGTATACTGGGAGAATATAAGACTGTATACTGGGAGAATATAAGACGGTGTACTGGGAGAATATAGGACGTTATACTGGGGCGATATAGGACGTTATACTGGGAGAATATGGGAGAATATAGGATGGTATACTGAGAGGACATAGGATGGTAAACTGGGAGAAAATAGGACTGTATACTAGGAGGATACAGGACGGTTATCTGGGAGAAAATAGGATGCTATACTGGGAGAAAATAGGATGCTATACTGGGAGAAAATAGGATGCTATACTGGGAGGATACAGGACGGTTATCTGGGAGAAAATAGGATGCTATACTGGGAGAAAATAGGATGCTATACTGGGAGAAAATAGGATGGTTTATTGGGAGAAAATAGGATGCTATACTGGGAGAAAATAGGATGGTTTATTGGGAGAAAATAGGATGCTATACTGGAGAATATAGGATGCTATACTGGGAGGATACAGGACGGTTATCTGGGAGAAAATAGGATGCTATACTGGGAGAAAATAGGATGGTTTATTGGGAGAAAATAGGATGCTATACTGGGAGAAAATAGGATGGTTTATTGGGAGAAAATAGGATGCTATACTGGGAGAAAATAGGATGGTTTATTGGGAGAAAATAGGATGCTATACTGGGAGAAAATAGGATGGTTTATTGGGAGAAAATAGGATGCTATATTGGGAGAAAATAGGATGGTTTATTGGGAGAAAATAGGATGCTATACTGGGAGAAAATAGGATGCTATACTGGAAGAATATAAAACGGTATACTGGGAGGATATAGAACAGTATACTGGGAGAAGATAGGATGGAAGAAAAAAGAAAGTAACAGATCTTTAAATTAAAAGGGACTACATGTAAATGTAATCGTTAACATCAGTGTAAAAGTTAATTGTCTAAACAAGTACATATTCAAAGAATTTATTTTATAATAATGAATGGTTTGTCCATCAGTGCACATGTATCTTAGAGGTACGGACATATTTTCATTACACTAAGAAACGTTAAAATTTCTGTAGTCTGTAATCTATTTTTATTCTTGTAATAAGTAAGAGATTAACAGACAACTTTAGGGGCAAGTATCCAGAAGACATATCTTATAAAATCGCTAGCATAACGTGCTGATTAATGTAAAATATAATTTATTCGTAATTACTCCTGCAGTAAAGGAGGTTTTGTCTTCATAGTTTATTGTCTATATGGCTTCCAAAATATTTATATAATAATTATAAACGTACTGTGCAAACCACCATTTAGTCTTGTTCGGCGCGGAAAAAACTGTGTCATTTGTAATATTTGAGAAATAGGTAATAACATTCATACAATTTTCTTTTACACATAGATCTAATTAACAAATAAAAAAAATACTATAACATAATGACATCTGGTATAACTAATGTCTACTACCTTTTGGATTGAACTGTGTTATAAAATATAAGATGAGATTATATATGTATAGATTATACTGCCACTATATATCCGAATAAATGCTGCGAAACTGGGTAGTATAATAGTCACGAGTGTTCATGAAAATGCACGTTAAAATCGTGCATTATTATCAAACAAAAAAAAAGATAAATAAAAGAGAAAGTGTCTCTTAAAAGATTCGCAGATATTGTGTTGCTAGGAGAATAAAACAGTGTTTGTTTACATAGCAACGATACCCCACTGTACTTATCAACAGTTTTATGGTTAGTTATTATAGTTGATAATTAAATGCACGTGCCAGAATTAACTATTTCATAGACACGCGCTCAGATTCTTGGATAAAAGCCAAATGAATACCATTGTTTTAAATTTCATATTATCTCATAAGCTTACTATTAACTTCCCTTCCTACGTTAAGTAAGTTACATCATTTTTCAAATACATTTGTAGAAAAAAAATGAAAGCACAGATATATAGGTGATATTGAATGGGTGTAAGTTAAATAATGAATTTATTCAACGATTTCAATTAATTCAGTAATGAACCTACACGAATGTGATATTCTATTTATCACAACCAAAAAAAGACCCAAAAAATAAAAACCCCAACTAATCCTTTCATTGACGCGCCTATAGTGCAACGCTTACATTAAGAGCGTCTTTACACTACGTCACGTCAAAATATATGCACGACCGTGCAATACCATTTTTACGGAGTCGCAAAAAAGTCGGGTATGTCATAAATATCTATATTTAGCTCCGTGATAAAAGCAAAAATAAATAGAATATTTTCTACGCGTATAGTATGATTTATTTTTTTTAACCGAAAGAAAAAGAATATCATTTACGTGTTTATCACAATTTTAATCTTTTTTAATTCAATGCAAACTTCCGACTTAAATGAGTATTAAATTCACATTACTTAAGAAAATAAGAATTTAAAACATAATGAACAAGTCTGTTTCAGATCAAAATTTATTGCCATCAGAAAAGAAACATTAATGTACAGGTAGGCTTAAACTACTTGGGGAATATATATGTCAAACATTCTGTATTCCGAGCATTTATCTGTCTACGATGTAAACATATGTTATCAAAGTTCATAGATTGATATCAAAGACTTTACACTCTAAAAACAATCGGCGAGGGTAAACTTAATCAAAGATGATGTACTCCCGCAGAAAAATCTGAGTGTTTTACGACATCCACTTGACGAACCGAGGTAACGTATACCGGTTATCTTCCCTGCGCATGCGTAATACAGTTTGGCACATCAATGCTACTGAGCATTCACTGATAGATAGCAAAGAAGTTTCAAATTTCAACAAACAGTGGCAGAAGTTGGTTGATGATCAGCGCTAGTAAAACACTTGTGAACAGTCATAGAAAACAGTCGGATTAAGTGCGCGTGTATTTTGTATCAGGTGAAATTAATAATTGTGTAGAGTGGAATAATTTGCCTGACGTCATTGGAAATATTTATAACATCTTTTTACTCTTTAAAATCGGACACATAATTGATTAAGTCCATTTATTCAAAGATTCTTCACTACAGTCAACAATTTGTGCAAACAGAGAAGTGTTAGTTCCACAGATTTTTTAAACTTTAATTTCTCTTTTTATTAAGCTTGTTTCTTATTTCTTTTACTTTTTTTATAAAAGTGCGCATATTTTTATTTGGAAGTTTTATTTGGAATATTTGCTAACATCACTCCATTTTAATCAATAACTGATTAAAACTTAAAGGCAATCATTTAAAATGTTTTATGTACGTATATAGGCTATGCTTTTATGTATGAAATATTCTACGCGTAAAAATGCAAATGTACATGCATCTAAATTGTGGCAAAAAGTAAGTCATAATTAAGAGAATGCCGTGGAATAATGTGCACTTTGCTTCAGTTCTAATTCCCTTACGAAGAAGCTAATTGGATTCTTAATGAAAGCATGCTTTTGATGAAATACAAATTTAAAGACCATTTAATCATAGTGATACGTCGAACACGCTTTCGTATATTTAAAGAATAATTAAGTCGCAAATTACAAAGTATTTTCACAGAATGACGAGGAGAAAGTTTTAAGGTTTAATAAAAACGCCCAGTTATGTCAATCGTTATAAGTAATCCAGCAAATGTTAAGGATTTCAGGGTCAAATTACGTTGTCTTAATGTATTGATTGTTCTACTAAAAAAGAATATTCGATTTCAATTAAAAGTATACTAATTCTAAATAGACACACTCATTGAAACTCAATCTGCCGTTGAAAAATCATTTCAAAGCGTGTTTTTTATAAATTGTTAAAATATTCCCAAGGGATCCTGCAACGTTATACCAATTAGAAATAGATTTTAAATCTAAAACTACCTGCTCAAAACTTTTTATTGAAAGAAACGCTTTACATCAGTTTGAGAAAATGAATACACAGGTGTCGGTTATAAAACAAAAAACTGAGATTATTTTGATAGAATAAATTATATAGATGAGTATACAATAGATTGTGCAGCTGCCGGTAAAACTTAAAATAGTTTTCTTAAAATTAAGGTAAACAGTAACCCTTATATACCTGAACAGAAATTTAAGGAAGCACTTCAAAATAGATGATCGAAGGTTAAATATTTCATTACAAAAAAGTTGTTTGGCTCAATTTTATACAATTTAGTTACCTGTTTTGTTAGGAAGAAAATAACACTTTTTTTCGATGTTAAAACGTTACGATATTGTATAAAAAAAAATTGAAATGCACGTTCTTGAAATTAAATGTTCATACGCTACTGACATAAACTCCGTGTGGATTTGATTAAAGCTGTAGAAAAGATGAAGATATTATATTTGCTTTATGTTGCATTATTCTAGACGTAATTCGCACGTGTAATGGAATTAAGCTGGGGTAATTGAAACGGCACGCACGAGCTTTTATAACTTGTAATATTGCATAAGAACAACCGTGATGATTTAATCTACTTAGTATATTGTGCATATCTGAACAAAATAAGAAGAATATTCCAAAGATTTTTTATTCGCAAGAAATATTTGTTAATATCGCAATTTACATTAATGTCTTTCCTGTTTAGAAGATAAATGAATATGAATATAACTTCTTATGCTTAATTTCAAATATGGTTATAACCTTATGTTAACTTATTCAAGTGATATTAGTAACACTTGTTTTTTGGGGGTTGGTTAGGGTTTTTCTTCTTTTTTAAAGTATTATGAATTTCTTGCACACTTTCTATTTTAGGACAGTTTATATTTTAAATTTAAAAGAAGGTAACCACTAACCTAAAACTTGAATGCTCAAGACAATTTTTAAGTAATCAATGCATTTAAATTGTTTTCCCTTCAGAATTTGGATTATTTCATAGAAGCTTTAATTACTGCGTATTTCAGTCGTTAAATGTATAAGGTGGAGTTAAAACATACGCAGCACGTGTAATAATTTCACGCATTGCTGCAACAACATCTATCTTTTTTGTTAGGCTTTTTACTTATATTACAAATGTTTTTCCCAGCTCTAAGACTATATTCACCGTCTAATAAACTTTTTAAAGTTTACTTTGCGGCTTAAGATTAGCGCACTGCGTCCCTTTCTGGATTTCAGATTAAGATTGCGTGCTACATGTAAGATAAATGCTATTCGAGGAAAACACATGTGAGTAAAGTATATTACCCTGAACGGATTAATTTACTTTAGATACTTTTAATTTCTGCAGGTAACCAAGCCGTATAATTTTGGAGTCATTTTTTCGTTTAATGATATGTGTGTGTTGAACGAAAATTTTGGTTTAGTTAATTACCGTTAAGTACAAGTAATCAAAACATCAAAACTGTAGGTAATATTTTTTAACATTGAACTTCTGTAGAAATATGTTGCATTACTCTTCATTTGTTCCTAATTGTTAATTGATGATTATATTTATAAATTGGACGAGTGAAATTCACAATAATTTACTTAACTTTTGTATTTCTGAATATAGGAAAAGTGTTGAACAAGTTGAAACTAAAGTGTTGACTTCTGTAAAGTAGCTAGTGTATTGGGAAAATATTGGTACAAATTACTAGTCTTCTTAGAATAATGCAACTGTGGAACATCATGATGTGCCGGAAAAAAACGTTTGTAGTGTAAGCAGATACATATAAAAGTTATATCTAACTAACTGTGATAAAATATTCAGAATTTGATTTTATATGAAACGATGAACATTATGGTTGGAATTAATTTAAACTTGAGAAGTTAAAACAAAAATGTGATAAAAATGGCACAAGGAAAAGTATCAGAAACATATGTATTGTTGCTACAGTATATTGTTTTCATCATTCTCAGTTTGACTACGTCGATAAATTCAAGTAAAACAGGCCTCATTCCTGTCGCCAGATGTCGTTCTAGATGTCTCTCAAAGGTAAGTGGGATGTTAGGCTAGATTTCCCGCCTAAAAACAGTAAATGCTATATTTATAAACATGTTAAATTGAAATATCAAATTTTTAAAGAAATAGTATCAATATAATCTTCTTCCCTCCGTTTTAATGATAAACAGGCTATTAAAATAAATAAGTGTTCATATTATTTTACAATTTTTAAATGTTGTTATAGTTAAAGCAGTTGAATTTAATATTTCATATATGATGTATTTGATGAATTTTAGCTAATGTAATTCTGATAACCATTTTATTCTAATATATAAATGGCAAAGGTTGCGCATATTTGTACACGTTCTTGTTTGCCACGTGTTTTATGCACGTGCGTTTCTGCTTATATACCAAAACCAGAATAATCGTACTATTAGCGCAACAGTCGTGTTTTAAAGTTTACAATAAAATACTCTACATGAAACCTCACGTGATATGGCACGAAAACGTTGTATTGATTCATCTGTCATACATATATTTCTCAGGTAGAAAAATGTATATCAATTTGACGTATTTGGTAACCAAAATCTTTGCACGTGTATTTTTAATCTAATTACCCTTTTCAAGCAATAGCGTTAGAGAGTATCTAGGACAAAAGGCAGTTTTTTTTAAAGAAATGTGTGACTAAGTCAGTTATATGATACAGATAAATTGCGGAAGTATATGCCCTTTCACGAAATTGACGTAATTATAATCAGCAAAATAATTTTATTGTTTTTCATATCACGAAATATAGGGATCATGATGAATTAGAGATTGTGGAGAATAAATTATATAATTATTTAATGATAATGTATATGCTAAAGTTATATAAATTATGTTAGCAGTTCTACAACTTTTTTCATGTACTCTACGTTATATATATAAGCCTGACTTTCGTAAAGTAACAACAAAATGAAATTCAGAAATAAAAAGAAAATTCAGAAATTATAATAAATCAAGTATAAAACCCAGTCAGCATAAAGCGAGATCTGACTATGTGTCTAGTATAAAGCCAGTTTAGTGCATCTATAACAATCCAGTCAGTTTAGTCTGTGCGTCTTTAGATAACTATAAAGCCAGGTCAGTTCGTATGTACCAAGTATGAAGCCAAGTCAGTCCGTATGCACCAAGAATGAAGCCAAGTCTGTCCGTATGCACCAAGTATGAAGCCAATTAAGACCGTATGCACCAAGTATGAATGCAAGTCAGTCCTTATGTACTAAGTAAGAAGGCAAGTCAGCCCGTATGCACCTAGTATGAAACCAGGTCAGCCTATGCGTCTGTAAAGTCTGAACAGACCCCGTGTTGCTTCTTAACGTTTAAGTAAAAATATGGACAAGTTTCACAAATTCGGCCTAGGAAATGTTAACACATTGTGCTCAGATAATGATATACACTTAACTTGCCGAAACTTTAAACATTTAAACATCTATAGCAAAAAAGTTGATTATATCTGCACATGTCAATTTATCAGATATATCAATTAATTTTAAAAGAAGATAAGGAAACTCAAATTTCAAATTCGAGATGTTAGCGTCTTATATCAAGCTTGAAATACAGATGAATACGCTTCTTGTTAGGTTTTTTTCTATTCACAGGTGTTTCAGGTAGCTCTACCACTGACATTAATTATGTTTCTGTTGAAATATATACATCATTTTTGTTATATTTGCTGTCATCGAATTCCAGTCATGAGATTTTTTTACAATTCACTTTATTTTAAGTGTACTCAAACAAGCTACATATATAATTTATATCAAATACACTTTTATGTAAAATAATGTAATTGGAAGATGAAAATTTATTTTTTATCTCCAGTACACTATGATGTTTTGCCTGGTTTTACTTTAAATTATTTGACTTTTATCCGAAAGGGGGAATACATTAATATATGCTTACACATATATATTTATTCTATCATTTACATGTAAGTTGTAAAAAAATGTCTCGTCTCAATCTTTTTTTCTTTCTTTCTTTTTCATTTTTGAATTTGCACATGAAACCTTATGTTTAACAGTGTGATCTCTGTGAAATAACAACCTTTAATAAACAGCGACCTGTATTTAAAAACTGATCGACTCTCGCTCTAATAACATGGGATTTTCTTGGGATTTAGGTTATTCGAATTGATGGCGACCTTGTAGTGTATGGCTTAATTAATGACCAATGCTTACCGAGGAATCCGGAAAAACAATACATAACAAAGCAACAATGATGCCCGTATGATAACAATTTGTTTATATCAGATCATGGATAACAGAAGCAAAATGGTATAACCGTTCAGTTAATGATGTACAATGACTTCATTAATTAGTATAAACCACCTCTGCCCCATTATCTATGTCACGTGACCCACGAGTAATTGTTGATAATACAGTTGGCACAGCAGGGAATATCAGCAGCGGCATAAATTATTGTAACATAATAGTAAATTAATTGAAGGCCTCGTTATGCTAATCTGGTATTACATAAATTTATATAAAATTACCATACACTTCTGTTAGAAAATGTCAGGCGTGTATTGAATTGTGTTGAATGCATTACGTCATAGATGTTATGCGTAATTTATGCATAATAACATGCCGCTTTTATCACATCCGGTCAAAGTTCTCGGCTAAACACCACCAAAATAGATCATGAGAGTGTTAACTTGCCATTATTACATATATCTGAGCATTAGGTGTAAATATATGTAGATTCATATCCGGGTGCACGAGAAATCGTACGGCAACATCTTTGTATATTTCGCTTAACAACCATAATATGTATTCGTATGTATGGTACTTTTAATGGCTATTATCTAATTCGTTTAAAATATAGTTACAATGTTAAAGTGTGAAACAAAATTAACAACATGGCTTGGAATATTTGTTTAATTTTAACGTTTTGCAAGATGCTCCATCTTTTTAGTTTGTACTGAATATTTCATTGTAAAACATTTCCTTCCTGAATGTAATAATCTTGCGAAGGTTCTTTATAGACTTTATCGAGTAAATTCACTTTCAGAACTTTTGGACACAGTTCAGTCCATAAAACTGATCTATGAAGATTTCATAGACGAAACAAACTTGTATTCTAAGATTAAAAAAACTCATTTTATAAACATGTACTCGTACTTACTCACTTCAGGCCGAAGAATCATATTTTAATAATTATAGTGATCAGCGCAGTACGACCAATGATGTCAAACAAACAAACAAACAAAAGCAAGATGCCAATATCACACTATGAATCTATATTACCTTGGTCGTGTATTAACATGTGAAACTACAAAATTAGAATATTTTCGTAAAGATAAAGTAAAATCTCGGTGAAGTGAACTGTTCAAACGAGGGCAGCTTCACCTTTGCACATCTCTGGAATTTCTATCATTTCTCCAGAACGGAAAATTATCTTGAAGTAACGAATTTGTAGAAACTTCATGTCAAAACAAGACGGCTCATGCTCGTATTGACTGCTCGATAACTTGAGAATGCCATTATGTTCAAGGGGCACTTATGTAAAATGCAAATGTGCGTTAATTTGTTAATTTGTTATCTAGGTTAAATTAGAAATAAATGACTGTTGATGTATTATATTATGATTAGATTGCCAACAATAACCTGACAATATGTCGTCTGCCTTCTGGAAACGCTTCCACTTTTATTGTCCCCCTCAGATTCTCTTGACACGTTTTGTTCTTAATGAGTCTGCAAATTGTTTCAAGTAGTAATGTTATAATGTTAGAAACAAATCTATCAACAAAGGGCATTCGTATTGTTCAAATGATTATCTATTATATGAATGGGGCATTAAAGTCATGCTGCTACAGTTGTTTGTGAATGACATATGAGCTGCGTCACGACAAAACCAACATAGTGCGTTTGCGACCAGCATGGATCCAGACCAGCCTGCGCATCTGCGCATTCTGATCAGGATTCATGCTGTTCGCTATCAATTTCTATACTTGTTAAAAGGTTAAAAAGCGAACAGCATGGATCCTGATCAGACTGTGCGGATGCGCAAGCTGGTCTGGATCCATGCTGGTCGCAAACGCACTATGTTGGTTTTGTCATGACGCGGCTCACATTAAAACAAAAAGGCGATTGTAACGCAGGAGGTCAAATGAACAATCGGCTGAGTGAATCCTCTATCAACCAGCTTTATATAACTAAAACAGCATCACCTTAAAAACAACACAAATTCTGTCCTCAGTATTAAAACGAAAATTCTTAAATGACTGTATAATTGTCATAGAAATATGAACTTTGAAACCAAATACGAACAAATTAAATATAACGCATAGACATAAATTTGTGACATAAATCGCAAAGCTTACTCTCTTTACATACTTAGTTTTTTTAAAAGCAAATTAACTGAAAAATATTTTCGTTTTACAATGTTTTCTGCATAAATGATTTTATTTTCATACAAACCATTCAATCATAAAAAACTTTTCCTAGACATATTTTAATTAATTGCATTTTTATTCACTCATATTCAATGGACTTTCCTTACCTTGTACTTTTATGTCTCACTTATTCATAATCACGTGGCATTTGCAGGAAAGAACTTTAATATTTTCACGGAAGGTTAAAAGTAAAATTGAACATTTAAGATCCGTTTTTTATGTAACAGAAAACGTGATAAATGAAAATAATTTTTATTATAATAATTAAATTTTATGATTTGAATTCAACTTTGTCACGCTAAATTTATGAAAAAGTGAAATTCAAGATAACAAATAAGGAACAGAAACAAATAAGGAACAAATAAAAGGAGGAAAGATGCACATAATTGGCGCGATAATCATTCTTTGCATTATCTGTTTAACATTAAATTTTTCCATTTAAGTCAAGGTCTTTACAACACATGCGCAAATCTTGTGTGTATTCTTTAAAGAAGTATTTTGCAAGCTTACAGTTTTTCCGTCTTTAATCTAAAGCCATTTTCAACTTTAACAACATATATCAGAGGAAACTACACGTGATTAACGTGCACTGTGATGTCGATGACCCTTTGATACAAAGATGACCACAGTTCTACAATATGACCGTAGTTAATTGTTGTTCCTGTGAAGACAGACTCTGGTTTTCGTCTTCTTGATAGATTAATCGCTTGAAACAATTATCACTTTATTCAATAAAACCACAGTTCCTGTTTTGAAACAAGGCTTGTAACTCCGGACGCTGAGATTTACATCTCTCGAGCGTAATAAGATAATTAAGTTTTTCGAATTGGCGTTAATTTATGACCGTGTTCTGCTCAGTGGCCGGGTGATTTTATAACATACTCAGTGTGATGTAATAAATGTAACCGTATATTACGACGTTTCAAGCTTTCATCACAAGTTTGATCAACAACAGATAACAATATAGAAGTTTATTACTTCCATGTATTGAATTATTTTAGAGCCAAACCGATTTAAATTCTATTTATGAGTTACTTAATAATGAGGCATTCCTTCTGACTCTCTGTTTCAATGTACAATATAAGTACCAAATGGAGTTGCACATTCTACCTTTGATATATTTCTTTGATATTTTTCGAGACAAGCCGAAGGATTTCATAGCCCTAACAGGAAATGGTTTCCAGATGATGTTGTGTTAGGTATTTGAATTCGAAGCCCCAAATAGTGAAGTTCAAGGAATTAAGCCATGGTATACAAGTTTTCAGGCATTTGACTGAAGTTCAGGTTTTTTCCTACTCTCGAAAGCTCTCTTTTTCTATATAAAACTAATTGAAATAATACTAAATTTAGTATTTTCAGGTTTAATGATATTTTTAACTTGCACCCATGTTACGCCCTAATTACTAAATGTAGTTAGCAAATAGTATATAGCATATTCAGGCGTTGATATTTTTTGATATTTATAACATACGCGCTATTTCATACTTAAATATCAATCAATGTCGATTTGCCGAACAGAAACACATAAAACATTCGACAGACTGAAATTACAATTCTTCATGTTCTATATTGTCTGAACACATTCACGTGACTGATTATTCATTTATATACATACACTTACGTCGCAAACATATGGTTACATGCTTTTTTTCTCTTTTTTCAGTTCTTAGAGGATATAGTGGACGATGAAATGTGTCGACACACCTCGTCATGTGACAAGGTAATTTACCCGTTCTTACTGTTGCCATGTCACACCTTTTATATTTTATAATTTTATCATATACAAAGAAAATGTACAGTTTTGCATACATGTTCTAACTTCCCAAACTCCGCGCACCGGTTACACTACGTCCAGTAACCACTGTCTTTACACAAATCACGTGATGATAAATCATTTTTGATAAGTGTAGAATCAAAATCATTAATTAATAGAATGATTCCTCTTTTAAAAGCGGCCATTGTTTTGGGATATAAAAAATCAGTTTCATAATATATATGTTATCGAAATTATTTTTTATTTTAGTTCACATCTAGCACATTCCGTTCTTGAAACATAGCAAAACCGTGTTTACTTTTAAAATAAATATCAAAATTTAAAAAAAATCATTTCGTCAAAAATATTGACGAAATTGTTGTAATGGGAGGGGAGATCACAGTTTACTGCCTGGAAGATTGATAACTTCCTATATACAGTATTAAACTGAGGAAGTTTAAAAAATATATCAACCTTTTATTGTATTACAGTGATCGATGACGACGATGATTTCATTGATATGGTCTCTTCTTTGAATTTCGTTAAGATGAATATAATTTATATTCATTCATTGGATTTTTCACATGAACACCGTATATCATGAAAAACATCAACTAACTTCTATAAAAAGTAACTTTTAACAACATTTTTTTTCACTTGAAGATATTAAAGATAATTGTTTAGAGAAAACCTCTCTGCCTATTATTCCACGTGGAAATTAAACAGCGTAAGGTGTTATATTTAATTTGTTCAACGGGGAAATTCTGTCACGAGGAGACATGTATAGAATCCAAATTCTCCGACTTATTAATTTAAATATATTTGTTTTGTATTTGTTAATTCAAAATAACAAATTATTTGAGATTTTGAATTATTGATGTTCGACTGTAGAGTGGTATTTACATTACATAAACAATGTAGGGATCGGCTATGTAGTGAATCTAATTTCGATGATGTATGTGGACTTTTTCTTCTCCATTCCTACACATTCTAAACGTCTTTATGAAAATACACCCTCAACGGGTCTTAAATCGTTGTGAATTTCACGATCCCAAGAGACGTTGAAAGCATTTATTTCTTTGAATATTTTATATGAGCGTCTAGTATAATTATGTTTACGGTTCAAAAACCCAATTACTGCAAACACCTTGAAACGGTTGGAGATACACATATGTCGATCTAAATTATCGTCACTTCTTCTCAAACCATTTTATTTTAGCCAGATAGGCAATTTTTCTTTACGAGTACATTTGGAACCATATATCAATTATAGCAGAAACATAGCAACAATAAACATTGTTTAATGATAACTGATGAGTGGTTTATTTTGGTCAGAACATGCAGCACGTACTGATCTGTTGTTAACACCTGTATATTATCTTAAATGTATCATGTACATTTTACCAAAACATATTTCATTGCTATCAATACTTAATATTGTTTTCTTAAATTCTATAGCTTTATTGGGTCAGGGAATTTTTTTAAAGTCAAAATATTTGATGGTGTTTTAAAGTAATGATCAATTCCTTATTGTTGTTGTTGTTGTTGTTATTGTTCTTGTTGTTATTGTTTTCTGTTGCGTTTTAACTTGGCTCTACTGTTTTAACACAACAATCTAATAAGTGTAATCAAGTATTAATTCCCACATGCTGCAAAAATCTAATTTAGTGGTAATTGCTATTCTAGGTTACTATTGAGAGTAAGAAAATTAGAAGAAAAAAATCAGAAAGGTTTCTTACTGATACCTCAGCTTTATTAAAATGAATGACATTAACTCCTGTGTTACTAGCAATATGGACACCTAAAGCAGCATGCCTCCAGATTCATGCTTCTTTTTCTGGAAAATTTTGAAGGTGTATAAAAAAAGTGTCATTATTGTCAAGTGAACAAAGAAATTAAATTTACACATTGCAAACTGCATTTCCAACCCACGTAAATTACCAAATAAAGATCAAAATTTGAGGTCTAAAATCCTAAAAAACATACCTTCTAATTTTTACATAGATTACCTGATGCACTTTAAACAGAGCGATTTGCAAAAGATAATTAAAAATGTACTCAGAAATAAACTGAAAATCGTATTTTTGCGACATACTTAGCCAAATTTGAGTGCAATTCTTTTCAATTTGGATCATTTTGGAAATACGGAATTAGCAAATGATTTGAAATTTGGCACACAAGTTATTTTTCTAGACCTTCAAATAATGGAACATTATCTCGAAAACTAATTTCTTGTCCCCTTAAGAAACCTCAATTGAGTCCATTTTGTACATTTTTCTCAAAGTTGGTTTTCTTAAAATATATTGGCTCATCTAGAGGCATGCAGCTTTTAATCAAGGAGCACAAGCTAATTATTCAAATTTAAGATTTATTTAAGATTTGTTTTCTTTAACATAGAGGGCAACATAGACATAACCTGTAATTTTTTGTGCAAACAGGTACATATGTGTATTCTAAAGATTAGCACTAGAATTAACAACAATTACATAAACTGCATCACAATAAGCAGTTGTCTGACGTTTAATAATGTCCTATAGTTTGCATTAGAACCAGTGTTTGAATGCCTTGATTTTGAATTAATTTTAAATCCCGACAGGCGTATGGACGGACGTAATGATAAGAGCGAATTCATAAGCAATCCCCTCCGGAGGAGCATTAAATACAAAACTATTACTTTTATGTCTGTGTTTTTATAATATGAAAATTATACACATGACAAAAAAGATTACAAAGTCTGAAATCTGAAGTCTGAAGTTTGTATTTTGATTTATGTAAGCATCTTTTTTGTTTTAAAAAAAGCAATACTACCTTGTAACACTTAAATGACAAAAACAGATAAAAATGAAATACAAAGTGAACGCCCGTAGTCATTTATATAACCCGGAATACAGACTGTGCATTTTCTACAATTTTCATCTGGCAGTTACATTATTCTGCATTGTTGTTATAATTATGTATCATTAAATCATAATGATTTAAGTGCTACCATCAACAAAACAATGTTATATTTCACTGTGCATTTTTGCAAAGGCTTTTACGTACATTATTTATGCTTACAATAATGCTCGGGTTAAGCATATGTAAGGAATCCTGCATATTATGTATAGAATCGCACCAACTTTTTTATTAGTTCTGTTAAAGTGATACAGATTAAATATAGCGCGGTGAGTTAGGTTTAAATCACTATCAGGAAACCACAAATCTTCCATTAATACCAGTTAAAGTTTCTGGCTGGCACTAAAAGAAAAATATTTTTCTATAGTTTCTGATATTTCTTTGGCCCTACATGTGTTAATGCTAGTTAAAGGCACCTTACTTTGAATAATAATGCACAGCATGCTTTCTTTACTGTATGAACATTAGCAGTGGCATTCTGAGGGTAAATAATACTAGCATTACGTTAATGTGCAACTACCTTACAAATGATAAAATATAACTTGCTGCTTTCAACACCTAGTCATTCTTTTATATTGTGTAAAATATAATTATAAGAAGTAGTACTATAAACTTATTACACCACAAAACCACAACAAAACATGTTTATGCTGCGATGCGTTTTGTTCTTTCATTCTCAGTTAATATTTGCGACCACAACACGATTGTAATTATTATCATCAACATGTGATGATGTTATCGTAAAAGAATAATTTATTTTGAACTGTTTTACCTTTCACTAAACGATGATTTATGCTTAATTTTACGTGGCATCCATTGAATGATTGAGCGATATGACAATATATAGCACTGTCAAATAAAAGAAAAAACGAGAAGTCTTTCATTTTACAAATAGTGGCAATACATGTAAAAAGATGTTTGCAAGTATGCAAAAATTAGTTACTGTAAAAAAGTAAAATGGTGTACTGTTTAAGCAAATACTTGTTGGCATTTGGACACGGTATTAAACAAGGAAACAGACGTATGTGAATTAACTACTACCAGTTTAGAAATTCATATTGTGTCATATATGATTGTATAAAAAGGGTAGTGCGTTCACAATTAAGAGAAATAAACAACTCGTTTAGAGCCAAAACATATCAGCTGATGTTTTTCTTCTTTCTATTTTATCTGTTTGAGAAAGCTTAACGATCTGCTGTACTCACTATCTCATTACATATTTCATGAAACTAATCCATACAGTGCTAATTACTTTTGACTGACAAATTCAATCCAATATGATCAACCGTATATTGTTTACAACACGGTCTTACGTCAAAGTCTTTCTCTCCAATTTGTTTGTAATGCTGTTTACCAAGTGCTTTTACGTCAGGTGTAATACTCGATACACCTCGTACAATCCGACTCATTTCTGGCACACTTTTCAAAGACTGTTTCACGGTGTTTGAATTCCAATACCGAAGCTTTTCTTAGAGCCAGAAGGTATATGCAAAAAGATATTGGCCAATAAAATGTTTGGCAAAATTTCTCCCAGCTATCTTCTTTAGATCATTATGGATATATTTTAGTTTTGATGTAGGTTGTGATATGATGGAAAATTATTCCTGAAAAAAAGCGGCAATTACTTTATGTAAGGTTATATCCCCATAATATAAATCATTACGCATTCAGCATAGGGGGTAGATGTACGGAGTGAGCTAGCATTTTTCTCCTGTTGAAAGAGTGTGTTTCCATTATCGCATTGCAAAAATAATATTTCTTTGATGTTTCGACTTTAAAATTCGGTTGAAATTAAGTGAACGATAACACTCTATGAAAACAATTTCTTCATAGAAAGAGTTTACAATAACTGTCGATGGTTGACTTGTGTAAAAGTTTTAACTTAGTTTATTATTTTTCTATAATTCTATAAAACATGTAGATTTCGTAATAAGATATTAGCTTGTTTAAATGACATTTTTTTATATAAAAATTGAAAAGGTCTAAATAAGAACTTGGTAAATTATCAATCTAATAAAAACAGGACAGACCAATGTTCTTGTTTGATAGTTATATAATTTCAACTAATACTCATAAAGTTTACGTATACTACTTAACGGTAAGGAAAAAAACAAGAGGAATGGTGTATAGAAAAAATGTGGTTTTACTAAAAAATATATATTGTACCCCTTGGCAGTGAGAAGGGCGTTCTTTTCTTCAATCTTTGAATTTTGATTTAAAACAAACCTCGGTGACATTTTATCCTTTTTGGAGACTTAATGGCAAACCTTTGGCCATTCGTAGCTCTAAAAGTCATAAAGAAGATGAAGTGTAGCTGTTGTATCTAGGAACTCGTGTAATCTTACCTGCGCTTGCCGCTATATGATTGTCTGCAAGTTTGAAACAAGAAAAAAAATTCTTAAACATACAAAATCATAACATAAATGAATTGATTCATTCAGTATGAATGCCTGCAGGTATTATTTCCTATCAAAGGTTCCTGTTTCAAAATGATTTAATAATTCAATCCCGTAAATGTTCAGGTGTCTGTGAATCAAGTTAAATGTAAACGTTTTGTACAATATTGTTTTAATCGGTTTGTGTGTGAACGCCCCACACACGTGAAGTGAGGATGCGTGGAATGAACGCTTTTAGAACCAACTCGTGACTGACACACAGTAAATATTTTGCTGTAAAGTCTATTATACGCTATTTTCTCAACACATCAATTAATTAAAACCATACGACCATTATTATAAAACAGCTGTTTGAACGCGTTTAAGCCTTCTAATGTAACATTTTAGATTTTTTTATCCCAGTTTTGAATTAAATTTTAAGAATGTATTGTATCGCATGTCTTTGTTTGTAATTACCATCATTACTGTGTCATTTCAAATGTTGCTGATATAAAAAAAGATCCTATACAAAATCCTATACTGTATATGAACAACTATGACGATGTTGGAATGTTTTGAATATAATGAACGTGTATAGATGTACATTAACCCAATAAGATCTTAATGAGGGATCGAAAGGAAGTCCTTTTTGTATTTGGTATAAAATAAATTTGGATATTTGGATAAATAATCAACTAATTCATATCATTGGCATTAAAACACAATTATTCATTCTTTGGCATAAGAATTTAGAAGACAAGAATACCTATCACCACATACACACATTTAATTAAATATATATGAAAGAAATATACATTCAACTTACGTCAATACGTTTATTTCAGAAATTTAATCACATGTAATTTTTCAGTGCTGGGAAGTGTGTGGAAACATCTTCTTTCAAACAGACTTGTGGAGAGAAGCTTGCAAGAGAAAGAAACTTTGTGTAAGTGGAGACAATTTTTATTTAACTTTTTGATGCCAGAAGACTGTGGATTAACTTTAAGTGAAGACTATAAATTTAGTTTAAGTGGGGACTATAAAAAGACTAACTTTAAGTTGGACTATATTAAGCATTAAGTGAAAAATATAAACTAGCTGTAATAAGTAGAAAGAATAAACAAACTTTAATTAAGAGTAAAATATAAACTAGCTTTAAGTGGAAACTATAGACTAACCTATAAACCTACTTTAAATGCAGAAAATAAACTGTGGGTTTTAAAACGACACTGTAAACTAGCTTTAAGTCGAGACTATAAACTTTAAGTGGAGAGTATGGATTATCTTAAAGTGGAGACTGTAAACTTACTTTAAGTGGAGACTGTTGACTTAAGCTGTAAGTAGAGGGTATAGACAAGGTATAAACGATGTTACAAATTGTTTGATAAATTTAATCTAATTAAAGATACAAAATATTGCAGAATCTTTCTGTTTTTCTATGGTCGATATAAAGTTCCGATTATTTAATTTAACAATGAAGACCATTTATATTTTACCAGTATATCCTATGTTTAAAATTACATGTCAATTTAAATTGCAACACAAAGTTAATTTGAATGATTTGACAAACCCTCCTTTTTAAAACTAAATATCATTTAGGTATTTTTCATTTACTAATTATTCAACATGCACAATAAATAGAATAATTATGATGGATGATGGTATAAATAGTCTTGAGTCTTTTACATAATTTCAATTACAACCTATCGCCCTTGACAGTCCATTACAAACAATACTTTGAGATTTTGATGTAGTAAAACAAAGTTTTTGTAACTGTTTTTCGACATTTCGTCTAAAACTCCCGTGACTTTTCTATTTAATTTTGCCTTAGAGGGCATTCTCCATATTCGTTTAGGTGCGCATATGAAACAACCTTGACCGAATCATCCGCCAAGGAGAAATACATTTGTGAGGGAAAAAAATCTCCCTTTTTTCTAAGAAAAATCGTAACTAAAGAAATATGATATTATCATTTGTATAACTAATTGTACATCATGTTGAATTTATAATTGGTCAATTTCCTTGACATGTTAACGTTCATGTGTTGATCATGCAGATAGTAGGCCGGGATGTAGTAGTAATATCATTTCTTAAATTTGAAGAAATATAATAAAAACTATTCAACAATAGGATCTAACATACTATAAGACAAAACAACAGATATAAAGGATAATTTAAGCGGGAATCAACCAACTCCATACTGAATATAAAAGTCACGTATATTGGAACAGAAATGTGATATATTACGATTGTTCAGTTCCTTTTCAACAAGATATATATAAATATATATTTATGTATGGTATTGTGAATGTAACTGCGTAAAAATGATAAAAGCCATAAAATTTATTTGTTTATCTTTTTATTTATTTGCAGGGAGAAGGTTGCCAGGCGGCATGTCAGTTTCGGAGAATCGTATCCCGCAGTAAATGTAAGAATTAATATGAGCCGCGTCACGACAAAACCATCATAATGGGTTTGAGACCAGCATGGATCCAGACCAGCCTGCGCATCCGCGCAGTCTGATCAGGATCATGCTTCAGCTTACAAGTTTTACTATTTGTAATTGTGCATTGTAAGCGAAACAGCATAGACCCTGATCTATGACTGCGCAGGCTGCAGGATCCATGTCGTTCGCAAACCCCAGTAATGTTAGGATTTTGTGTGACGCGCTTATTGCTATAAAACTACTATACTTTACTGCACAGTAAGATGCAATTTTAATCATGCTTCGAATTCTACGGTGTGTTTTGACGAGTTGATAGTTGGGATTGGGGCTGTGGTGATGAGGGTAGGGGGTTCTATGAGTGCAAACTATGTACCGATCCAAACCATACATCAAACTCATTTGATCTTGCCAATGATTTCGAAGCAAGTCGCATTAGCTTAAATTGAAAGACGGTAGTCAATTCTTTTATTCTTAATTGCCAATTACTTCAAACTACAACTGACCCTCCCGGTTCTGTTTATCTTTTTCAAAGAACATGTATTTTAATTAAAGTGTCAGTTTGAATTTCGCCATAGTAGTGGCAAATCCAAAACAAATTTTAAAATGAAATGAAGATCTTTACTGAAATTGTTACTGCAAAACTAAACTATATCAAGACATTTGTCTAAACCATTTACATTTGTCTTCCAATAGTTAGAGAATCAGAGACAAAAACAGGTCTTTGCACGTTAATCTCGTGCGCATCTGCGTGCGGAGTACTATCAGTAGTTTTAAGAGACGTACATCTTGTGTTTTATTTCACCGTTACAGCCAATCAAATATGACAGTTTCAACACCAACATCATGCATCATGTCAAAAGGAATACACGTTATACTGTCTGTAAATCTACCCTGAATTAATTACAAAGATAAGCCGCTCTCTTAAGCAGACATGAACATTAAGCGGCTAATGCTGGATTAAGATTGATAAGCCTGGCTTCTACAAATCTTTAATCAGCCTTCTTTACTGTCAGAACGGGTTTCTCACACAGCAAGTTAAATGATTTTTGTTTCAATTAAGTTCCGTTTAGTATATTAGTTTTATAAATTCTTATGAAACAAATTCATTGTATCCAGTTGTTTCAATCCTTCATACAGGTGCTATTGTTTCCAGAAAATAATATTTTTAATCCATTTTCAAATGTATTATTTTGTTTATAGATTCATTGTTGTTTGTTTGGTATAACAATGAATTTGCTAAACTCTTACTATAATCTTAACTCAATGCTTTATTTTTCATTCATAATTGCAATTTTTACACCTCTGAAAAGTGTTTTGTGTAACAATAAAAACATTTTCATTATTTTTTTATGGAAAACACTTGTATATATTAAGTATCAGAATTTGAGATATATAAAGTACCAGATTCCTCGAATTGAACTCATACTACTTTGCTGTTGACGTATTGAGTAATATGTAAGACACAAGATTAATTAAAATAATTATTTTTCATGAAAGATACCAAAGGATGGGTGGAAAAAAATCGGATTTTCTTATCTAGGAACGTCATACATTCATGTCTTATCATTTATATGTGCACACAGATTGCATTCTAGCTGTAGAGTTAAAGATTACTTTAATAGTTTTCCATATAACATTTGTCAGTTTCCGAGATTCCTGAATAAAAACAGCATTCGACAATGATTCACAACTTAACGACAGTTGAGATATCTCTGTCAACGGCTTTTTCTTTTGCTTGTCATTGTTTGATACTATTTTTGAGCCGATTGTCATGTACAAAACCTACATAAGTGGGTTGCGACGAGCATGGATGCAGACACGCCTGTCATATGCGACAGTCTGGATCCGGATCCAATCATGTTCAGCTTACATAACTCTATATACAACTAGGAAAAAATAGGACAGCATGGATCCTGATCAGACTGCGCGGATGCGCAGGCTGGTCTGGATCCATGCTGGTCGCAAACCCATTATGTTGCTTTTGTCGTGACGCGGCTCATTTGTATAAACTATTATACTTTCAGCGGATATGCCTGATATGTCATTGTCTAGAACATTTTCTGAAATTCCTGCCGTGAGTGTGGAGCTTGCGAGTCGGAAGGCTGCAGTGGCCTGGAACACGCCTGTCATACGTAACAACCTACCTGGTACCGACCAAAGTTCAAGACTTACCTTTGTTTACGTTCTCTTTACAAGGGACAAAAATAAGAAAGGAGGGGGTGCCTGGAAACAAATTGTTCAGGTGAGATTAAAATTCTGAATGTGCTTGTCTTGTCCTCAAATAGCAAATGATACTTATAGAATCTTTACCTCAACCCAGTATCACAATATAAACAGATGGTAACCCATGGAAACTTACATAGATTTTGATTTATCCCATTAATTCTATTATAATATACAATATGTAATTTAACTTTTGAGTAATTCTACAATGAAATTGGTTCATTTCGTGCAAAGCACATAAAGAATAAAAAAAGTTTTAACAAAACATATGGCTATGAAGTTACTTTGGCAAGCTAATACTTTAAAGATTAAATTTATACATTTTAAACTTCTTCACTATTTACGAGTATAATATTTTAAGCTTCTGAATATCCAAACCTATTGCCAATGTAAGCGTTTTATTTGGCTAATAACAGCGTCCATGTTCTTACTTATATTTATTGACATGGTTTTACGGTTTTCCTCATCAGAGGCCGGTTGTTGTGATGGATATCTTTATAGTTTCTGCCATGAAGATAAAACATTAGAATGTAGATAACCGTGATAGATAAATGTACAATGTACTCAACATAACATAGACCTTAAACAAAAGTAGTGATAGTAAATGAGTCATTAAGATGCTGTATTGACAATTTATCTCTGATAAAAAAGGATAAACCACATACAAATATAAACACTAGCAAAGTAGCAGTTTGGGAAGATAAGTATTCAAAATGATAGAAACGGCAGTTGTGATTTCCTTAAAAATGTTTTCCGAAACTATTGACATATTATCTGATATCTCCATCTTGAACACGCGCTTTACAAGCAATCTTCTATAAATCAACATGTCTTTGTTATTTGTTTGCTTGTTTTTTGTTGTTGTTTTGTTGTTGTTATTATTTTTGTTATTATTTTTATTATTATTATTATTATTATTATTATTATTATTATTATTTCTTCAAAGTATTAGGTTTTCACTAAAGAATCAACACGTATGTTGAAAGTATCATTCTTACTAAATGGTTGACATATGCTATATAATCTATGATTCTGTGAAATTTCTGTTATCTTCAAATTTCTCAAGCTGAAAAATATTTATCTTATCATGGTTTAAATACATTGTCAGTAGTTTTATTTCTTTATTTAAAACTTATTTTTGCCTTACGTTTAATGATTTCTTCATCATGATCACGAGAATATTCCATCATCGGCCCATTACCCGGCAGGTGTTTTATTTCTGTACTTTATTCCAAAGAGATTAAGTTGAAAGGTGCTGAAAATAAGACGGCGACGTGTTATCTACTTCAGAAAATTATAGAGCAACCATATAGTGAACTCTACTCGGGGAGTAAAATAATGAAGCGAATCTAGATTTAGGAGCTTGCGTCGTTATCTAAGATTGGTAGAATTTTTATAAAGAGTTTAAGCTAATGAAAATGAGCGAGTTGCCTCTTTGATAAGAAAGGAGATTAGGCTGGGTTTATAAGTGCAGTCGATAATTGTATGTCATATAGAAATGTTCTAAGAATTTCTGAACATGAAAACTGTAGAACATTTTTAGAACAGCGTGTAAGTTTGATTATTTTATACTAATAAATGAACATTTTTCCTCCATAACTGATATCTATTCAATGTTTTACTAACGTGAACCATGGTATTATTTTTAAAAATAGTGTAGGAAACTTTACATACTAGGTATATCGTAATTATCTTTATTACGTAACTTTTGGGTTGCTTAGTGAGCAATATTGTTTCACAATTGCTTCATAATTCAGAAATATAAGATAATTAATAAAAGTACATTGTAATAATTAGCTTGTTTAACAGTACTTCCATTAATCATCATAAAGTAATTCTTGTACTTCAAGGTTTTGTTCGTAGTTCAATGTATAAGATGAACAGAGCCGTGTCACGACAAAACCAACATAGTGGGTTTACGACCAGCATGGATCCAGACCAGCCTGCGCATCCGCGCAGTCTGATCAGGATCCATGCTGTTCGCTTACAAACTCTATAACAAGTAGAGAAACTGATAGCGAACATCATGGATCCTGATCAGACTGCGCGGATGCGCAGGCTGGTCTGGATCCATGCTGGTCGCAAACCCATTATGTTGGTTTTGTCGTGATGCGGCTCATGTTTAGTTTTACAAGAACCCTCCTTGCTGGACCCTACACCAAAGATTTGTCATAGCCATATCAAGTGTGTTATAAATGTTGTAGATACCGTTGTTAGACTACCAGAATGGTCTTGTACAAAGTCTAAGCTGCTCTTACAAATAGCTTTAACTTGATTTATTGCCTTTCGCCTAAGTTTCTAATGTCGGATTGTAATTATTGCCAAAACTACTGCTGTTTCTTCTAAGTTCAAAATTTTACATCTTTTTCTCTTCTTTCTCTCTTCTTTTAACATAATTATCTCAGTAATTAAAAATTTTCATTAAGTTCAGCACATGAGAAGCTTTGTATGTAAGACCTTAAAGGAAAATATGATTTTACTTTTTTCATGTTTTATGCTCATAGTTTGGCTTTGCGCCTTATTGAGTTACAAAGCACCCCCAAATGTCTTTGTAATCCGCGATATCATAAAATTCTTATGTAATTTTGGCACGTATTACAAATTGCTATTAAATACGAAGGAAAGGGCCATTAAAAACCTATTTGAAAACATAACACTCTCAGAGGTCGTATTGTATGTATAGAAGGAACGACGGAGTTTCCTGCAATATCTAACCATCGGCCCAGAAGTGAAATAAGAAAACTGGAAAATTGATTTGGCATACCTCTCTACGGTTTTTATATTTTAGAAAATAAACCATTATTATAATAGATAAGGAATTTTCAAGAACGTTGTTATTACAAGTTGTAATGTTGTTTGATTCACATATGTTCTGGTTCACTACCCTCATTCAATGAATGTGCTATAAAATAGTTTTATGTAAGTCTGATATTTAAAGGAGTAAAATAATTGAAGATAAAGAACTTCCATTGTTTTTGTTGTTTTACAAAGGTGCATAGAATGAGTATGATAATCAGCCACAGTTTACATAGTTTATTTTCTTTCTTTTTTCGTTTTATAATTGTTATTAACGGAAATTGGTATATTTGAAAGTAAAATAAATAATTTTCCTGTTTTTGTAACAACTTTACGCTCCCATTTCTCTAAAATCAGTTTGTTTTATGTCTTGTGTTACAGAAATACCATTCCTACAATAAACCTGTATAGGATTATCAAGATATATTGTTCGGTTGTACATTTTTAATTTCCCTCTGTACTGGCATTAATATATGTGCAGAAATACAATACGTGATTAGGGCCTCTCCTGTTTGTTTTATTGGGCACTGTGACAAGACGGTGCCTAGGCTAAAATCATGTGATTGGAAATCAACCCAAAATCACTTGTTACTAGTGTATGTAACAGACAACAGGAAATAAGTTTTTGATAAGTGAACTCCGTAATAAGTATGAAAATGATAAGAGTTGGCACAGAATTTCCGTGCAATTTGCTGGGGTTTTTAATCGGATGTTTCTGTATTTCAGATAGCCATAGATCAAAGTTGATTTTTTCCTCCAATTTCTAAGGCAATGTCTATTTTTCTTGATTAGTGAAATTGAAATGCAAGTTGTTGGAAATAGTTCTCACCCGGTGCATCTGCTGTTAGTTGAAGTGATGATTTTTTTCTTCTCTATACGTGTTAGGAAAATGATTTTTCTTTCTCATTAGTTATTTTTGAATGTAACGAGATAAAAATCTTGCCTTCAATGTTTCAAGAAGGGATTGTATCAATTATGAACATTTATCTCAATTTCAATACATGATTACTTGCTTTAGATGGATCTATTTTTTCTACAGAAATCTAATGAGAAGAATCCTATCAGAAATATCATAATTACAGGGGAACATTTTTTTAATCTCAGATATATATTAACACTCATTATTGATGTATGTCTAACTGAAACTTTGTCATATTCATGAACAATTTAGCATCGGTAGGAAGTTCCTCTTTTTCAACTTCGATAACACATGTTTCATTTTATTTTCCATCAAAATGTCTTATATAGTTATGGGATCTTTTAGTGAATTAATACTATTAGTTAAACTTTACATGAAATTTAATCCTGATAAGTAAATATCACTTGCAAGAAGAAAACAAAATTATAATGTGAATATGGAAATTTGATAATTTTAGGTCATTTATTTATTTATTTATTCATTTAACAATAAAGATGATCGTATTTTAAAACCCAGTGTTAAGCAATTATTAGCAGCATGGCCACGATGGCCAAAGGTGTGAATTGTCTGAGAAACCAGCTTCTTTTTCTATTATAAAATTACTCGGCTTACCATTTCTGTAATTAAGTGTAAATTTTGCTTGCCAAATTAAAATACAAAGCATTACATTGGTTAACAACAGGTGATTACAGTTTCTAGAAACTTTCTCTCAACATCTAAGATGGAATGAAATCTGGGCTATGCCTGTTCACAACTGCATGTTTTGCACGTGAACAGGTGTGAAAATTAGGTCATGCACATTCCATTGCTAAATGTCATCGAGCACAAATTGGGTGTTGAACAGTTATTTGATTTCTTCTTTTTTCTTCTTGTAAATAATGTTGTTTTATATTGTCAAACTTGCTGAGTATAAATTTCAACGGAAAGGTGTTGGGAAATACCTGTATTTTATGGTATTGCCATAGACTATGCACCAGTCTACGATAGGAAGAAGTGAAACGGAGGCACAGTATTTTAGAAATAATCTGTTTTATAATTTAGTTCATTTCATTGTCTAGGGTGGGATAATGAATGGAGGTTATAAAATGCAGTATGCTAATTACGGTATAGGTCATTGTTAAATCTTCTGTTATGATTTCTGTTATTCAGATATGATATAAAAGTTATTATACGATATCATTTCTAGAAGTGGCTTTGATCCCAAACAGATACGTATTGAGATAAGTGTTTTGTCTTGGCTACGAAACTTAAAAAAACACAAATGTTTTTCATGCACATATATTTTTTTCATGCAATTATCTTACTAAATGTAATAAACAAGACATCTGCATTAATTCTATCTTTATAAAAAGTCCAAAAGAAATCATTTCTAAGTTCTTAAAAAGAATTGTATTCATGACGCATTGTGTTTAAAGGAAACTTTAAATTAGAAGAAAAAGAGCACAAGCCATACCAGATGGACTTTTTTCTTGTTTTCCACGTTACAGACTTTCTGTTAAAAGAGCTTAAATTTCGAGTATATTGTAACACCTAGCATTGGATTGTTTTGACAACGTGCTACCGACTCTTACAAATGACACAAGTTACGAGCAATTACAGAATTGTTGTATATAAACATCTTAGAGAACATTAAACACTAAAACGCGCTAGCTTTACCGATATACCATATGTAACATCTGTGTCAGCCGTTCTTCACTGTGATAATATATATCTAACACGTGCTCTCGTATCGAAGAAGATTTATAAATCTCGTGCGGAGGGTGCCTGTCTATTTACATTTATGACGACTGTCAGACCAGCGTGATCCTTTCGAAAAATTGTAGTATCAAAATATTGTGTTAAGTTTTATTCGTTTCCACGTCAGTATGTGCTTAATGTGCCATGTATCAGTTGTTTGTTTATCACACGTCAAAATGAGTAGACCAATGTCTAGCTTAATGATTGCACAAAAAGACAGAGAACATTTCTTGTACTTAATGCATTGGTCATTTGATATACATGTATATTCCTATTGTTGTTGGGTAATCAAATTTAAAAAAAACACTTAGAATTTGATAACTTGTTAACCACTTCCAATACAAATTATGGTAGAGCAGATCATGTATAGTTCATTTGAAAGGGCTGAAACGTGTTCCAAATTGAGGCTTGAAAGCAGAATAATAAAGTGTGTTGTTAGCAAATTGTAAGAAAAATAACGTTCTTATATCTTAAATGTAAAGTTCTTTAAAGAGTTTTATGATATGAAGGTAATTAATGTTTATCAAAGGTAAAGTAATGGGGTTAAAGGCCCAAATTGTAATGACATTTTACACATTTTAACTTCAAAGCTTATACATGATTAATTATCACGCACCAAAATTATTTCAGGAAAATATCGAAGAATTCATTTGATAAGATTGGCAAACTCCTTTCCTTTGGAAATTGCCCAGGAATAATGTTTTTTGACAGTATTATGAATTATAATGGTTGAACAATGATATAGTCTGAGTGGTTGCGTATTTCGACGTCTGTGAATTAGCGTTCTCTTTACGTTCAATTATAAGTGCAGAGTGACCCAGTTGGATACGACATCCATTGGTTGATAGTGACTGACTTGTATTAATTAGTCAGTAATTCAGTTTGTATTTAATGTGTTTTTCTGAAGCCCGACATGGCGCTTTATCAAACAGAATACTTGGCAGAAGAAGCTACGATGTCAGCAGTCGTAAAAAGGTGGCACGATTTTCTCGTGTATGTGCACTGTACCGTGTTATTACTTTACTATCGAGTTAGAAGCATTAACATCAGAAAAATATTGTAAACGTTTCTGTATAACACGTGTAACGCCATAACGTTAATCCTTGATTATTGCTAATCCAGATTCACGCACAGGGTGACTCATAACGCATTGTATAGTATGCAGGTGATATTATGACAATAATTTGTTACAAAAAAAATGAGAGACATGCATGGAATGATTTTTGTTCATGGTGATGAAATATAAACAATGACATAATATATCTACAAATAATTAAATGTTGACTTGATAGTCTACTGAAAAAATAACATATACATCAAGAAAAATATATTGTTGAACTGATTTGATGCAAGGGAACATTTTGTTGTCGTAACTGTGTGATGTTTTTGAATCCATTCATTCTGTTGCTCCACTTGTTGTGTTTGTTTATATGACATTATTTTCTACATTTGATTTGAAATATGTTTGATTTCATTATTTAATTTCTTTATTATTATAATATGCTTGTGAAAATCATGGTCAAACGTCCGAGGTCAATATCATGTCAAAGTATGGGCTTTACGTGTTGTTGTGTTGTTCGGAGCAATGATTTATTATTCATCAAAGTTCGAATCACAGTTAATTATGACGTCATCACTGTAAATTATGACATTATATGGGCAAAATCATATTTGTCACCGTTAAAAGAACGAATCGCTTGTTTACCTTTTCCAGAATTTCTCGGCATTACTATCACCTGTGATCTGTACTAACTGATATAAAAAGCAAGGCAGAACTTGTTTCAAAACAAAGTATTCGTTGATGTTTTTGTGAGCCGCAACTGGTAATTGATGGCAATTTTAACCTAGTAAAATACAAATTAGCTTCTAACATGTTACACTGTTACACAAAGCTAATGTAATAACGAAGAAAATTGATTTTCCAGCTTTTTTAAAGATGCAAGTTAAAACCAGGATGGGTAGACTGTTCTTTTCTATAATTTGTTTCTTCAGATGCTAAACACAAGATCAAAGTATCATGTTAAAACATGATTACAGCAATACTGCGTTATCTTTATCACAAAAGAAGAAAAAATAATCTCATTTGCTTTAGGATTGAACCCGTGTTTCTTTTGTTTTTGATTTAAGTTTTAAAACAGATGGATAAAAGTAAGCACTTGATGTAACAAGATTTGATCCTTTATATTTACTGCCAAAATTTCAAAAGCATCGGTTATTGTTCTGAATATGTTTGTGTGAACATATAATATAAGACCTGAATAAAGAGAGAGAGAAAAAGCAAGACGTCTGGTTCCAAATTTTAAGCTTTTAATCCTAAACATCTTTCTCATCAATCTATAGATTAAGAAATGAGAAATTACAAAGAAAATTAATGTAATGAACAAAGTACACTAAATTAAGTTGGATTGAAACTGGGTGTAATTGTTTTGAACTGAACAATTCTAAAAACACAGATTGTGGACTAAGATATAAAACAATATTGTTCTTTTTTATATTGTTAACTCTGGTTAATTTGGTGGTATTGCGGGTTGCGTTCATTGAATGCCGCCCTTCCTTGTTGATCCTTGCTTTTATATTTTTTGTAATGTTGATTCTTTAACGCGCTTCGGGTGAAAAAAAAATATTTTACAATGAACTTGTTTGGATGTTAACAATTAAAATATAGTTTTTGATATTTATGCATAAGATTATAATAGGTAACGCGACATAAATATTTTAGTAAGGCAGTAGGCCTTATGAATATAATGTGTCTGTGTAATACCTTACAATGAGACGAAGTACATATGTAGACTAATTTTCTTGTTTGTTCTTTTTTTCTCTTGTTTTGATGATTCAGCATAACAAAAATGAAGCAATCTTTACATAAAAAATGACAATACAGTCATTAAAATACAATTTTATAACTGCGAAGAATAACTGCAGGATTCTCATATTAAGCGATTCGCTTTTCCCAACTTTTATATTGCTAAAAAATTTAATTGTACTATGTTTTCTACTATTTTGCAGACGAGTTTGACTTATGCCAACATTCATCTAAACTCTCTACCATACTATCCTGAGTTCTGGCTAATGGCTGTCGGAGAGAACGGAACACAAGCGGAAATACGGTTTAATGCTTCGATATCAGACAACCTTCCCTACACCGACGGTATGTTTAAACCTTTAAATAGACTTATCTGCTTTTAATGTTGACTTACCAACGATGATGTCAGAAGTAAGGTGCACATTGTCAGGATTATAAGGAGGCAAACAGAGTAAAATTTTTGTCAAACTTGTAGTACAGGTTTTGCTATTGCCAGTGGTTCTGCAAAGGATAATAAAAAACAAGAGAAAGTTCTTCAAGCAAGATAATGTTGTTTTAAAATAAATTGATCTTTGTTTACAAATAAAGTCAGTTTTTCTTACTTTTGACGGTGTACAAAATACTGAATTAAAACACCAATGAAACTTCTAGACTTAAAGTAAGATACATAGGAACTAAGTCAAAAAAAAGGGGGGGGGAGAAAATAACAGAAAGGGCATTTGTTATGATGCCACCATAATCTTAAAGTATTGAGAAATATAGATTGTAAATAATTATTTATGAGGTGAGATAATAGTAGTGGGTGAACGACCGGGTTATTAGACACGGATATAAGTAAGATATCATCTCCACCCTGATAACATATCAACAAGTGTAAGATGTATCTGTCTGATTCTATAAGTACTACAATATACAAGTAAAACATTAATAATTCATGTTTTATTTATACAATTTATATGTACCTGTATATATTTACTACATACAAAACACTTACTGCCATTGAACTTTGAAAATATCAGAGAAAAGCAGTTTCTGTTGAAAGTTGTTGTGAGTTCAAAATGAAATGAAAAGAAAAATATTCTATGAAATATTTTTTGTAATTTCTTTTAATAAGTTATATATAGATATGAAATGTTTAATCATAAAATTTGAAAATGGTCCGATTATATTGGTCTTAAATGGATTCTAATTCATTTGAAGTCAAAATAGCTTTACATTTTGCCATAATTGTGGTCAATTATATATTTTACTAAACAAAACTAACAATAATCTATGTAACCGAGGGACATTTATTTCCAAAAAAAAATTACGTTAAGATTGTGTCCGTAACGTACAAACCTTCTTTTAACCATTTAGCTGATCTTGTTTTACAGAAGTCATTGCGGTTCCGGTATGGGACAAATATTATCCGTTCCGCATGAATGAAGGGGCTGTTATAGAGTACGACAATAAATCTACGCTACAACTCAACATGACAATGACCATAGTGAACGGTACATTAAATCCTGTGGTAACCTGGGTCAATCCAAACGTTCTCCCAAAGAAAGGCAGCAGCGAGCTAGCTTATTCTATCAACTATTATTTACAACATTGTGACTGCCCCTGGCCCGAGGATCATTACTCTAAAGTGCTCTATGTACAAACATATGAAGAGGTACAATGACATTTTGATATATCTTTTTTATATTCCTACATTTTTGTTATAATTTTATCTTTAAGATTACAATCCCTAACAATCAAGTACTGTTTAAAAACCATTCGCTGTTTGAACTTGAATATCAAATTTTAAAATAGTTTATAACTTTACTTATAAATATGTTTGTTTTTCTTCAGCCAAAGCTACACTTGAAAAACATTGCTTTTAACGCGGAGTATTTGGTAGAAATCCAATTAAAATCGGACAAGAATTGGCAAGGGGAGTTAACCTTCTTAACACCAAAATGTCTTCAAACAGACGGTATAAATCCAGCTAAATGTCTATCGCAAGTTTCAGGAACACATAAAGAAGTTTACAAAATAACCACGCCATATCCGAAAACTACTCTAGAAAATATTGGAAATGGAAAAGTAGCTTTAGGTAGGTACTTACAAAAACAGCACGCCAATCAAATTGTATTTATCATACCACATAAAAAAAGCCGAGATTACTCAAATCAATCTTGTATTTTATTTTTATGTAGTCTTGCAGTGGCTCTGTGACAATTATTTACAATTTGACCAGATAAAATTACTTCAAAGGTATGGTGTTTCGGGGATGTAAAAGCAGTACTTTGCTATGAAAATAGTTGAAATCACTGCAATGACATCATTAAATTTAATCATAGAAGATATGAAACAATCCAATTCCACTTTTATGTGTCAAATAATTTGGTAATCTAACAATATATAATTTGTATTGACTTCGGTTTACAGTTTGTTTGTTTTGTTTGTAGATACTGACCATCTAAACCAGCAAGAGGATGGCTCGTTTACCGGATCAGCGTCATCACACGGTCTAGGTATATAGCAAAATATTACAATTAAGGCATCAGATTTCTTAATGTTTGAATTTCGTAAGATGAAGGTTTGTAGCTTTTGAAAAGTGATATTTTGCTGATGACAAGAAAATAGAATAAAACATTTGAAGCGGAATCAAACGTTCGGTCTTGACAAATTTTTAAATATATTTTACAGTTTGAAACATACATTATGTCCCTATTATATTGTAACCTTTGTCTTATTCATTGACTGCACGGTCAGCAACAAGTATAATGTTTTATTTCAGACTGGAATATTACAATTGCTGGAATGGAATATGACGACACAAGTGAAAAAGTGTTATGTCATCTAAAATGGTCGTTACCAATTAATCACACGGGGTTATCACAGGAAATTGTGTGGAGCAACATTCCACATGCTGACCAAGATCAAGTTGATGCTGGCAGAAAGAAACATGTGTCTAAGGCTGGAGATACTGACAAGAAAACATTAGAACTAAGACCATGGAATCTATACAGAGTCTTTGTAAGTTTTAGATGACAAAATGAATAAAACCTCTTTATCATGTAATAACTGCAGCAAGTTTATGGCATTGTCAAAACAAGAAATTGTTTAGATAAATTACAAATCGATTTCAATGCATCAGTTTCGTTGCTTAATACACGTGGCACTAAAATATATTGATATAAAGCAATTTCACTTGTAAAATGGTACGAAATCTAATCCTTGTACGTACGCAGATATATGTTTCTTGTTTCAGATTTGTTTTTATATTCTGGTTATGGTTTGAAGCCAACAAAATATAAAATAGCTACATAAATTACTAAAATCAAGTTTCCAAATATGATATGATACTAGTATCTATTATTTTGTTTGATACAGCGGCCGTGTGAGTTTTGTTTTTATCATGCATATTTCCAGCACGTAACAATTCCTGGCAACCATGTTTCTATTATCTTAACATAATCAACAATGTTTGTTTTCCCATCAAAAGTTTTCTCAAGGATACAACTGACTGGCTATTCTTCAGTATAACATGAAACTTTCGTTTTTATAGCTCGTTCATTTAACTTTTTTTAATATAGCGATTGACTTGCTTTATATCTAAGCTCTTTACGTCACGTTAGTTAGTGTTGTTCCGTGAAATACATTGCATTTTTTCCATGAACGCATGGTGTGAAGTTTCGATTTCAAAAATCAAAAACAAGACAATCAAGAACGCAAGAGTGATGATCACATGTTGCGATAGTAACGTCACATTTAAGTAATAATTATTTCGTACCCAGAAATGTTTGAATCATTTCTACTTCTGGTAATTGAATTGAACGTTAAGCCGTAACATATTCATGTATTTATACTTAACAGGTAAGAGCCACCTTAACTGACGAAAATGGTAACAAGAAAGAGCTTCTCAGGAGCAAGTTTCTGGAATTAAATACAAACATCACTGATCAAATTCCTCACGTGTCTCTAGCCAGAGTATCTGATATAGGTATGGAAGTTTTAATGTTGACAACCATAGTAATAAAAATGGAACTGCTGTACAATTGTCTTAATATAGTTTCTGATATAGGTATGGAAGTTTTAATGTTGAAAACCATAGTAATAAAAATGGAACTGCTGTACAATTGTCTTAATATAGTTTCATTTCTATATGATATTGATAAAATCCTTTTGCTATTATATATTAATCGTAATTATTTCTTCTATATGTTTGTTTTGCTCTAAACCTGTAACATTTTTGGTTGTGTCTTCGGCAACATATGTTCCCGGAGATGTTACTTCGTCCACAAATGTTCAATTAAAGCATAATTCTTCAACTGTTTGAACTAAATGCTATCGTATTTGAAAACATTTGTTAATTCCGCCTTATTAATTTTATTTTTCCTAAAAAATAATCATTGGCCCTCTTCTTCTTGTATTTAATATACATCAGTATTTCCCTCACTATTTGGTTCAATCTCTTTAAAAGTAGGTATTTTATTTTAATAAAAGAGAATACATTGTCACCGATGTTGTGTTTTAGATCAGGAGAAGGATATCCTTAACGGTATTATCGTAGGTGTGACTGTTGTCTCAAGCATTATCTTATTTGGTATCATCATTTTATTCATCTACAAGAAGAGACAAAGCTTCAGAGACATTATCATCACCAAAACAACCGTTGCTAAGAGCAACAGCTACAAGTCAAACGTTGGTTGTAAGTACATCCGTTGCTCGTCTTATATCTATTTATAATTATTAATGAGCCGTGCCATGATAAAACCAAAATAATGGGTTTGCGACCAGCATGGATCCAGACCCGCCTGCGCATCCGCGCAGTCTGAGCAGGATCCATGCTGTTCGCTATCAGTTTCTCTACTTGTTATAGAGTTTGTAAGCGAACAGCATGGATCCTGATCAGACTGCGCGGATGCGCAGGCTGGTCTGGATCCATGCTGGTCGCAAACCCATTATGTTGGTTTTGTCGTGACGCAGCTTATCTATAGCAGTGTCCCCTACATTTTCCTCATGTTTTGTATCTGTTGTTTGATTGCAATACATAAAACAGGACGGGAGAAGACTCATTTTGGACGTTAACGAGGTTTCTGTATGTGAATTTAACACATTATTGCTGGCATAAAGTTCATAAGCATGTTTACTTTCGTCGTCCGGTAATTGGGGCATCAAATTCGAAAACATAACTTACACAACAGTGAATGATTCAAAGTATTGTTGGTCCATTGGTCCAGAAAATTTCTTTCATGCGGCATAGGACAATTGGTATTCTACTTACGTTAATCTGGCTATACAATACAATATATAAATCAAAGGGCTGCAACCTCTGTGGTATTTTCTGATCTTTGCAATCTAAATCATACTGACTATCTGTATGTATTTTCCAGTATAAGTTTATTTTTATATACTATAATTAATCTTACGCAGCGACTGCGTCTATAACAGTTTGAGATTGATACATATGGAATTTTGCATGACTAGAGTTGCATCAAAAAATCATTTTTCATTTTTAATGACAGCCACACTTTATCCTTGCATATCGTGGCTACTTCCTTAAAAAGACACCGCAAAAAAAAAGTTGCCTCGCCTAGGATTTGAACCTTAGGTCTCTCACACCCTAAACGAGCGCGCTACCTCTGCGCCACGGTGAAGTAATACATATGTAGCTTGAATAAAAACAAATACATTGTAATTCTTATTTGAAAATTTCCAATTCGTGTTTGTAATCCTTACTAATGTTCACGATAAACCTGTTGTTTAACACTGATGAAAATAATTTAGCGAAACTCTTCTCGACAAAAAAGTACGACATGTATATATATTCCACTACTCGACAGTCAGATTTATTTGTGTACTACGCGGTAATCGACATAGCTAAAAATAGCATTTTCATTGATTAAGCTTTACGGAAATAGCCGAACATTTTTCATTGGGTAAAAAAGATATTCATCCGCGAAATTTGTGATTGTAACATCATATTTCTATTGACTACTCTAAACTTTTAATGCACTGCAATTCGTTAAATGCCTACATTAAAAGTTATTCTTTCTTTTAAATTGCTGGTTTTTAAGCAGTTCTGAGTGAGAACTACTTTGCGTTGTTAGGTCTGTTAGGAAATTTTGTGTTAGACCGTGGATGTTAGCTTTGTATTTTCTGATCTTGCGATCAGAAAATACAAAAATAACATCATGATTTAGACAAGAGTTAGTGTTGCTATGTTTTATATTTTTTGAATAAATAGAGGATATTCAAGTTTTTTCTATAAATACATGATTTATTTTCATCGAGTGGTAAAATAAATATTTCATGAGTGGCGGTAGCCACGAGTGAAATATGGTAATTTTCATGCCACAAGATGAAAATAAATCATGTATTTATAGAAAAAACTTGAATTTTCTGTTTATTATGTACATTTTTCTCTTTTTTGCGATAAAATTTTAAAACTTTCCCTTAAATTTTGTGTACTGGTAGAATTTAAAAGAAAGTAGTCCGGCAAGACACCAGTGAAAATACGGAAAATATGTTTCACTGCAGTGAAAAATAAATTTTTACAGTGAAAATACGGAAAATGAAAATACGCATTTTATTTCATCAATATTTCTCAATATTTAATATTTCATTTATAAGTATATAATAAATTGAATGGATTTTCAATTGACACAGATATATACATATATAAAAACTTTGTCTATCTATCTAACACTAGTCTAGTATAAAATATGTAAACCCAAGTTCTTTGTACTGAGGCGTTCTAGTACCATTTATCCGCATATCATGATATTTAATTACTGTTGAAAATCTTTCCTTTTTAATTATTTCCATCAGAGTTGATACGCGGAACATATAATAGCTTTTCATAGAGACGGGTTTTAATCCTTCAAACATTGCAAGCTCATCATGGAAGTGATTATACAATATTTACTGCATTAAGTAGATTCCCATCTCCCTTCGTGTATAAATTCTAAATCAGGAGCTGTAAATAAAACCTTAGTGCAACTGATTACTAATGACGGTATGTAAAAAATGGACGCGCTGTTTGTAATATTTTAAAATGGGGTCATTACCGGATGTTATAACCGAAGAGAATTAGAAAAGGAATCTCTCTTTTATTTATGGAATGATGCAAACATAAATCTAGAATGTCTATCTTTTCTTACCTGTGCATTGTTTAACCAGTGAGATATTCATGTTAAACATATTACCGGATTTTTTTTACATTTTTTGTCTTTTCATTTGGTTTTGTTCTGGATGATGTCAAATCTCCAGACGACTTCGAAACAACAGTCCGATTATAGATATAACAGAGTTCAGCCTTGCAGCAATTGTTAAGATCAATAATGACTTATTCATAAAGAAGCACCAAAGTGAAAATTAACTTAAAGAAGTAAAGCAGGGATTCTAAAACAGACATATTGATATAATGATTATGACATAATGTTAAAACATTCTTTGGAGATTTTATCGCCAAAATCTCGAACTATTTTCAATTCTGATTTAAAATATGCAGGAAAGCCTTACACAATATTAGATGTATCGTTTATCAGCTACTTTATCACACGACAGAGCGTCGAGGTCTTATCACCATTTTTATTTAATGTATCATTAAATCTTTTTTTTAAAGTGCAAAGCGCACTTCATATTCAATTTCTTATCTTTAAGATTATCAGTAGTTTAATTTCTTGGAAGATTTAACAAAGAAATGCTGCTAGAACCTCGTGACCCAGTAAAGTTCTTCTCCATATGTAAACAGTGTAATCAACACAACGATTTCATATCTGTAAAGCATGTTTTTGATATTAATGTTAAGCACAGTAATTAATTGCATAACTCTGCAAGATAAAGCGTAGTCTCGAGTGTTAAAATCAAGAGAGTCTTGACACAAAAGAATACCATTTTATATAGATAAATGAGCCGCGTCACGACAAAACCAACGTAATGCGTTTGCGACCAGCATGGATCCAGATCAGTCAGCGTATCCGCGCAGTCTGATCAGGAACCATGCTGTTCGCTATCAGTTTCTTTACTTGTTATAGGGTCTGTCAGCGAACAGCATGGATCCTGATCAGACTGCGCGGATGCGCAGACTGATCTGGATCCATGCTGGTCGCAAACTCATTACGTTGGTTTTGTCGTGACGCGGCTCAAATTCTTTAATTGGGAACGCAAGCATAATGGTAGTTGATATTATGATAGAGTAATTAGCAGTATAAGTAATAGAAAGAGCACCGAAACACGAGGCTATCTGATTTGTACGAGGGGGCGTAGCCCCCGAGTATTAATCAGATTGCCGAGTGTTTTGGTGTTCTTTCTCTTTTGTATCATAGTCAAACATAACAGCACGTTCCCTGTTGTCACAATATGAAACCCCGGCAAAAATGAACCAATGAACGAACATCTGAATATGACATTTCTGTCGCTTTCCCTTTCTCTGCCGTCACAATATGTAAACCCCAGCAAAAATGAGCCAATCAATGGGCATGCTCTGGAGTGCGGGTAACTAATACCCGCACTCCAGTTAACGCACTGTGCATGTATATGTATACGATTTAACCCTGACACATTTTCAACAGAAAGGTCTCCAAACTATGATACAAGAAACATAAGTTGCATGTTTAAGTTGATTTATGATTTAGTAATTCACTTTGATCAAAGGAAAAACCAATACTTGGTCCGCTCTGGTTTATTGTTTAAACAAGTTATCATGATATGCTACATGTAAATAACTGTATGTAAAATTTGGTTTAAAATAGTTCCAATGCTAACGAATTATTTATTAATAACATCCATTGAAATAAAAGATAAATTATAAATTTGCATTAAAAAGACCCCCCAAAAAAGTTATTCATTCATAAATTGAAACATTAAAAAGATGAACAGAAAATGTTAATTGTTTTCTTTTAGGTTATTGATTAAACATATGCGGAAGTTTTGCAAAACTGATTTGACATGACCTTAAATCGTTCTAAATCAAGACAAAAATAAGGTCACACTGAACTATGTTTCTACAGTGACGAGCAGCCATTAGGCAATGTAAGGAAAATTAAATGCATATCAGAAAAAGTCTGTATCTGACTTAAAGTGAATAATGAAATTATTTATCAGAACAGAACAGATACTTTTTTTAAGATTTGTACATTGTACATCATCTATAATATAATAATATTTACAAACATAACGTCAATATTATGGTAATAGCAATCATGACATTTTTAAAAAAATTCTTAATCTAGTAACAAGAACAAGAAAATTAGTTAATAAATGTATAAACATTGTTCTACGAAATAAAAAGTAAAGACATACGAAAAGGAGAATGTACAATTATCATCATAACTCGATACATATCAATATGCATTGTTTAAACAACAAACAAACAAGTATATAGTTAGATGTTCAAATGTTTATGGTAAATGCGGCATGGAATAATATAATATAATTATAATTATTATATTTGATGTGTGTTTATTGTATCAATTAACTATTACATTTATAACATGAACTGTAGTACCTAAAAGTGATTGATTACAAACATCAATTTTATTCAATTACTATGAGCTGTTTTGATAGCTCTAAGCATGTTGATAAGAAGGTAGAGAGACAGGGGGCTTACAGGGTAGAACTCTTGTTGCCAAAGTATTTAAGATGTATTAAAATGAACATTTTCTCAATTAATGATCGTTCTGGATTCTTTTACATTTACTCCGAAGTCCTTTCTACGTGAAAATAATAGAAAATTTACAAAATAAATGCAAACTCTAAATAAAATGTGTTGCATAAATTGTTTTTGTTGGTATTTAATATATTCAATGTCTTAAAGTTAAATTCACTTTGAATTACTTAACACTTTCAAAATAAGAGACATTTTCATAATCTCGAAAGTGTGGTTCTTACTTTTTGTCTTCAATTAATATTTTTAAAGTGGTAGAATTGATAACATTAAGTTTTTTACATATATCTTTGTCTACTTTGTTCATGCATACATTAATCTATACCATCTTTTCGCTGTAGTTATTAATCTATTTTAACATCAAAATGCTATGAAATAAGGCATTACCAGTCTGACATTAATCAGGTTATCATATAAAATGCCGTGTTTTAAATCTATTTCCTTATCTTCAACGTATATCTTCTGTTACTACACTTGCCGATGTCTTGGCTGGAAAACTCGGCTAAACTTTATTTTTCAAAGTGAGAGGAGTATGAATTACGGAGGGTTATTCTGATATTTAAGAAAGAAAGCAACATTGATTATTGTAGATAATATATAATCTTAAAAGCATCCATGTTTGTTTTTGGTATGTCAAGTGTGATTGCATCTTTTATCGGCCTATTTCGTCACAATAGGGCGTGTAAAATGATAGAGTTCTTACTAAAACAAACACATGATTGAGCTGTTTATTATATCAATAACACAATGAGTTACAAGTAGAGAAACTGATAGCGAACAGCATGGATCCTGATCAGACTGTGCGGATGCGCAGGCTGGTCTGGATCCATGCTGGTCGCAAACGCATTACGTTGGTTTTGTCATGGCACGGCTCAATTTTATAAACGTTTTTTACGTATATGTCCTAAACTGTACCTAACTCAGTTTGGTCTCTGTACGCAGGTGATGTCTACAACGGTCATTCTGGAAGTGTATGTTTATTGAAACAAATTTAGTATAACACATGAAGTGTTGTCATGTATTTTATGATTTATTTATGATACTGAATAAACAATGCCATAGTCTTTAATCTTCATAAGATGGCAATTATATTTTTAAGCACTATCTCATGTAAATAAATAAATATAAAAATGTATTTACTTTAGCAACATTTCAGTTCTGTTAACATCTGTAGATAAAAAGCTTATTGCATTTCCGTCGGAATAGCATACGGTGTCACCTTTATTTATCCACGGTAGACGCGCAGTCGCAAAGGATAACTAATCATTATAAGTGATCAGATTGGTCATTATCGTCCCATCTTCTGCTTTGAAGTTGCCGATTTTTTTTTGTCTTTATAACTAGCTTTTTGCGTCCTTGTTTTATCAAGAAACACGTCTAGACTTAGAAAAACATCATCTATTGAAATGCATTACTGTCAAGCCGGTAGATATATAATGTGTTAAATCAGGGTAGATAACTCTAGCAAGATCATATGCGTGATATATACCTGCAACTCTTTATTGTAAAGAGCAATAGCTATCACATCAAATCACAAAATAAGTTTCTAAAAGAGGGAAATGAAATAAAGTGGTTAACGAAGTTTTTCAATTTTTACAGCAAGCAATTCTACATTATATGATACATAATTATGCCATATCGAAGTAGTAATACATTGCAGTTTCATATAATTTACTAGTAAATTTGCTATTGTTCTTTAAAACGAGTATAATTCTTTCAAACACATGTGTCATGCTATTCAAATTTAAAAAAATAAATGCGAAAAGTAAACATATTAGTCTAGATTGAACATCTTTTCTATTTATTTTCAATATATCTAACACTTTTGTGTGTTGATATTAATTTCAAATTTCATATTTATTATAGGTAAGGTAGACTACTCTAACCAAATTTTGATAACAAGCGACGATTGGGAAGTGGATTGTCGTCAATTGAAATTTGCGAGTCATATCGGCCAGGGGGCATTTGGTAAAGTCGTCACAGGTTATTACCAGGATCAACGAGTAGCTATAAAACTTGTCAGAGGTAAGGAAGACATACAGAGGATGTACAAATCCCTAAATAACACTAAAGGACTGCAGACTTGAGAAGAACGAGTTCAATTCCCCGCTAGTTCAACTGAAATTACTAATATTCTTTTAGCCGAGATAATGTGATACGAGTATAAGCGCTACATAACCAGCTATTTGTAATATGAACAATCTTTAATCAATTCCAAAACAAAATCAAGTGTTGATACTTTACAGCAGTAGATTGTTTGAAGAAAAAAGAAAGCATGTGTAAAAAGAGTAAAAAAGAGCCTTCTAGACATTTTATTTTGAAATGAAAATAAAGGGTCCTCGAAGAAGATCTGGCTTAAATACCTGCACTTTTAAGATTTCCATTTAAATACTTTTTTATTGTTTTACATGATAAAATGTAATTAAAATGTTATTCCGCTGAACGAAAACAAGGGTAATGGAATTAATTAGGTGCAGGTACATTTTTAAAGGTCTGAATGCAGTAAAAGCTGTATGTAGATTAAGTATATTCCAATTAAAAAGGATTAAACGGTCGCTCTACAAAGAAACTTTACAGTTTTATTGTTTTAAATCAAACAATGTTTTAAGTTTAAAGAAATAATCTTTAAAGAAATACAACACTACAAAATTCAAGCAAAGAATGTCTTTAAACTTGTTTCCACGAGCCAAATCTTATATCCCAAGCGTTCTAAATAATTCCCTTTTGGCTGTTTTATGTGATCAAATTTGTTTTGCCAAATGTTTTCATAATCCTTATCTCTTTTACCGTTGATATGAGCATGGAAACTTTAAGGAACTAATCGTGTTGAGCAGGAAATTAAAGATAGAAGTGCTGCCCGATAATTCGCTTATCAGATCCACGATTTGTTAGGAAAAAGCCTTTGAACTTACTGTAGGAAAACCCGTAAATTATTTTTCATGTTGTGTTTGAATCAAACACGAATTTTATTATTACATAAAGATTGAAATTTGTAAACATACATAAGGTCAATTATATAATGAAGAAATTATTTGAAATTTGTAAACATACATAAGGTCAATTATATAATGAAGATATTATTTATTTTCATGGCAAATTTTATTTCAATTACAATGTTTTCCTTTTTTTTTGATACTGATATGGTTGTGGTTTGTTTTGAAAATTGAATGCTACTAGTATTTCCTCTTTAAGGTATACATACAAGTAATTACATAGAATAATATTTTACAGTATAAGGTAAAGGTAGAATTTGTGAAATAATTGCAAAGGTTTGTGTTTCGCATTTTAAATTAAAATGACTTGTGCGTAATAATTAATATTTTTACGTACATATATAATTCACACATTATGCCACTAGAGAGAAGACAACATTTGTGAATTTGATATCAACTGATTACATTCGGAAAAAAAGCATCTTGATTTTACTATTGACTTCTATTAAAATGTCTCTATATTATTTCTTTTCTATGATACTTGCAAAGACTTTTAAAATTCCCTTTCAAAATTTATTGTATTTAGTTTCAACCATTTTGTTCTCGTTTAGGGCACACCCATTATTTAACTTGCGGACCATATGCAGCATTATCAATTTTTGTCGTTTTGGATGTTATCTTTATTTTATTGTCGTAATGTTCTAACTTAAAGATATCATTTTTAATTCTTGTATCCATAATAATATTTCTGTAAATATGATTATAATTATTACGAATGCTACAAATACGTGTCATATTGTATGTAAATGTCGATGAGCTGTTAATGTGCTTAAGACTAATAAAATATATGTTATGTTATGTTAATAATAGCCTCCTGAATTTATTTCATTGCAGTTCATAAACTTATTGAAAAGCATTGCAACTCAAGTCAGGCTAAAATAGCACAAAAATATGATTGTTAATGTATTTCTGAGTATATTTCTTACTCATCCTTTGCATATCTGTCTGTTTTAAATGTCTCAGTTGATCATTGTAAGAAATTCAAATTTTATATTTTAGGTTTTTATAACTCAGGGAAGTTCGTTTACCACCATCACCCATCTGGGTGAAATTAATATATGTTGTATTATGCCGTCAGAGAAGAACAAGAAGTATTTCTTTGTTTGCAAAATAATGTAAAAAGAGTAAAAATGTGTAAAATGACAATATTGAACAAAATTTTAAGTCCAATTTGTTGTCTTGACTTTTCAGACTGTGCCCCAATTTCATATAAAGAGGACCTTCTAGCAGAAATAAACCTAATGAAGAGGCTTGGTTCCCATCCTAACATCGTTTCAATGGTTGGCGCATGCACTCTTGTTGAACCAATATGTTTGGTTATGGAATATATACCATATGGAAACTTGCAAAATTTTCTAAAGTAAGTTTTTATATATATTTATATATATTATTTGTATTCCTCTGGAGTCATATCATTGGGAAGAATGAATTATTATATTCCGTCAATGTACAACAAATGTTTCAGGACGGGTGAGATTTGCCGTATTTTATACTAGCTATTTACGTATTGAATACCTCCAGTAATTGTGAGTTTACGTAAAAGCATGGGGGTTAAATCCGGCCATTGCAGTTGCCAAATAATATATGTTTCGATCATAAACATTCCGGTTTGCCAATAAATCTAAAAAGAATAATTTACTAACTCAATATATATAATTAGTTATTTATTTAAATGTCTAACTACCTCTGCCCTTCTGTTGCCCTTTATACAAAGTCGTTTATCCTACATAAATAAACACGAGGAAGCTAATGAAGTAAATTAATACAGTGCCATACGAAATGCCGGAAAATGTAATAAATTCTAAATAAATAAACACAGTAGGTGATGAATCCTTTCTTGTTTTGAATTTGTTCGCGTTTCATGACACCTGTTGTGTGAATAAGTTGTGCTCATTTATCTCAACTTTAATATTTTAAATAATTAAAATTCTGTACAATAATTTCTTCCCGCGAGCTAATTATACAGGAATGCAGTTGGCCCTATTTTTGTAGCTAATCAATAAACCGAAGTGAAAACTAAGGACATTAATTATTAGTTCACCGCTTTTCTTTCAATTCTTGCACATACATTAGCGCTATTTATATTTTAAGTGTACATTGATAAACTAGATTATGTACTAAGAATTCAAAAGGGCCATAAGTAACATGTTTATTACGTTATTATAATTACAAAGAAAATAAAATATTTAATCTCTGTATAAGGCCAAAAAACTTGGATAAGTTCTTATTGATTTTTAAATTAATTCTGTAACAATTTAAACAATAATGTCGATAGCAGCGGATGAAAATGTGTTACCTTAGCCAGAAAAAAATACTTAGGCTTTACCTGGAGGGTGTTTGTAAATTAAATCCAGGATATGGAGATACTGCCGTGCATTTAAACAACTTATTATAAGACTCAGCTGTTTTCCTAGCTGAAAGATAGTTTTATTAGTTTAATTATTAAAATGGAAAACAATAATTGCAGACTTTAGAGAGAGTACCAATTTACCTATTTGTTTTGGCAGGTTGAGTGGAAATCGGAAAAAATGATTTTATTGCAAAATCAATAGGAAATAAGTGTAACGTCTGCCAGAACTGATAAGCGTTGGGCGTGATATGTAACCACTACGTAATGTTGTATTTTATCTATGAAATATGAACTATATCTCTACACGATGATAAGATACGTTAACAAACACGAAGCGTCTCTCAGCCAAACCAGACTTAAAGTCTCGTGTTAAGAAAACTTTTCGGCTTTTAAAAAATAGAATCTGTTAAGAAAAAGAACCAGAAAATGATAGAATGAAGGTTAAAACATTAGAATATGTTATAAACAATTGAAACATTCTCAGATATCCTTGTCGAAGTTTGACATTAAATGCCTATAATCTAACATCATTAGCATATTTCTACTTGATAATACAGAATTCACTTGAATAAAAATAAAATATAGAAAACTCACAAACGAAAGTGGAATGAATTTTCAAGATAAACAAAAAGATAAAATAAAATCTCTTTCAAATAAGTTACATCGAAGAATATTGCAAGCGAAGCTGTTTTTAATGTAGAACTCCGAGGATTTTGAAAAGAAAATGTTACACATATGACTGATTAATATACATATGTAATTTATTAATGATGAACCTAACTGCCATAATATGAATTTATGTTAAGCTGAAGATTTAAGTGAATTTCATTCCTGGTCAGGTGCCAGTTGCCCGGATATATCAATTTGAAATAATGCAAGAAGTAATCCTGCTTTCTGTCTTCAAAGTATATTTATTGTACATATCACCATTTTATATAAAGGATATGAATGTTTGTAACATCAAAATATCATACAGCAACATCATACATAACTCAAACTGTAAGTTAACTGCTCGTGTTTTAAAATCTATACTCATCAAGTGAGCATAGTTAGAGAGGACAGAATTTGTCCAAGACAGGGGTATATTTAAATCAAAATGAATCACATAATTATTATATTGTAATCATTTAATACGTTTGAACATTATTTGTTTAATCTTAATTCTACACAAAATTAGAATTATTATTATTTATATAGTTTGAAATTAATTAAGGTAGAAAACAAAGTAAAACAAGGGTAATGGATATCTTAAAAATTAACAGAACAAAATATTTATACACAAGATGATCATGTACATTGTGTTTAATTATAGATGAAATTATTTGAATGAAATATATATATGAAAAAGTAAAATTGGCAATCAAAACCAAAAAGTTAAAGAAATGTGAAATGAAAAGGAAATAAAAACAAACAAACAAGAAGAACTTAAGGAAGGGTAGGCTTTATATGTGTATATTATATGTAGACAAATGTTACAATAGTAAGTTTAAGTGAGCGTTTATGTAATTTCAGGAAATGTCGTCTGGAAGGTGAACTGACGATACAAGCTGGGAGAAGTCCTGAACTGAATTACTCCTTAATGGACGAACATGGCGGTATCAATGAAGGTGTTGTTACACCGGCTGACCTCTTGTCATTTGCTAGACAAGTTGCTATGGCAATGGTATGTATTTTTGTATTTTTTTACTCCTAGTTTTGTTCTTTTGGATAAATTATTTACTTTCAGCAGCCTCATAGAAACAATACATTTCAATTAGTTTTTAATTTTAAAAATGAAATTATTTGTAAATACTTTAGTTGAAACTACATCCTTTGGAAAGTGATATGCACGCATTTACCCGAATATTTGCTGGCTTTTATCACAAAGGGTATTCTTGAAACGATTGCCTTCAGATGCTGTCTCCTCTGGTTTCAAACTTGTCAAATATACATTTATGAAACTATTTGGTTTAAACTCATCAATGATAAACTTTCAAAACTATGGAAAAAATATATGCCAGCTATAAACTAAGGTGGAAATATACCTGATAGGGAGTGGCTTCAAAATGATGTAATAATATAACCAAAAAACCTGAGATCCGGGCAACATTTTTGCGTTTGCAGGTGTACAATTAAAAGAGATATATTTCCGTCTGTCTTGCTTTTTCTCTCTTTCTTTCTAAAAGAATTGACTAAAACTTTAGTTATCTAAGGAGTAGTTTTTGTCAATCCTATTTAAACCTAAACAGATTGGAAATGTTTTTGTGAACAATTAACGAGTAATTATATGCTGTATTTCTGATATACTGACAAAGAACTATGAGTTTTTATAACAATATTAATATCATAATGGAAATGTGAAACACAATGTAAATCAAATTATAAAATAAGGTAAAGTTAGAATAATTCCTGTTTAAGTTACAATTTGAGGCTGTATTTTGTAAAATACTATCCTGTTAAGGTTAATTTAAATATCCTAAACTCAGAAAATCCAATATGTTAGTCGAGATGACGTTTCTCTTTAAACTTATAGGTTATATAAAAAAATGATAAAATAGGTTTGTATTGTGTTTAACCTAATAAGTTTCCTTGCGATTATAAGTGTATATAACTCATGAATAATTATTATGTTCGTTCATTTTACTTGTAAAATTAATCTTTGATAGCGGAATACTACACTGAATAATCAAACATACATAATAAAATTATTAACTGGAGCACGCCAAACAATGATGTGATAGATTACTCATAATCTGGTCATAGAAATAAAGATATATAAATGTGTTTGTATATTATTTTAGTGTTATAATTATAAGTGTTTAGATAGTGTTTAGGTAATATATATCGATTGATAGTCTGACCTTTTTGTTTACGTACTTGTTGTTACCTTGTAAATAAATATACATCAAGTTCTTGCAAGTTATCATGTTAATTTACTCCGTCAGTCTACTTTATAAAATAATTTCTATAAATCTTATAATCATGATACTTAATAATAGTAATAATAATAATAATAATAACATTTAACGGTGTAAAAGAAAAGAACGCCCTTTTTAAGTTTTAAAAAAATAGTGCAAATAAGTTATTTCTTCAATTCTAATGAATTCAAAGTATTCACCGATCAAAATATCAGGGTGGTGTTAGTTAATGGAGTAAAAACAGGCTTGTGTGAAATATCAGACATAACAAGATCTGTGCATTATCCGGGAAGATTAAAGTGCTTTCACTAATCCGATAATCTTTGGCGAATGCAGAATTTCTTCGAGAAGATACACATCTTACATAGCAAAATACTTATTGTTTTTGCGATAGATTCCACATACCTATTGATATTAATCAAAAACAAACTGAATTTTATATGTTCCGCATTGGCTTCTGTAGCACGCATTCCAAGCAGATTTTGTGTTTGGTATTACTTTTTGTTTTGTTTTATTGTTTGTAGGAAATACACACCCAGTTTCATCTAATTTAGCATAGCTTGTTTGAATTAACAAACTAGAAACATATAAAATCGAATAATTAAGGAAAATAAATCCAACATAATTTTCACAATTCATGCTGAATAATAACTAGTACAGCTATAAATATGCCACAGCTATATTTAATGCCAATGAAATTCATGCTATGCATATTGTATTAACACTAATAAGCTATGGTGTACTATAAAATTGTCAAATTGACGAGTCTTATATCCGTAGCTAAGTCTTGACTATATGTTAGGACCATAATTAATAAGTTTTTTTATGTATATTGTAAACAATGGTCAGTTTCAAATCTGTGTTACATTGAGTACCGCTTTAGCCGGTGCTATGGGGTCGGGAGAGATGTTGCAACTTAACATTTTCTCTCAAGAACGGACCCAATCAAACCGAGTCTGCAATTTCTCATATATATTGCTTTCATTGTCTCCTAGGAATCGCCGCTTTTCTATTTTTTAAACAAATTCTCCCATAAATGAAGTAATTCCTTATCAATATTATTATATTTATCAGGATACTGTTTATCATATGAGATTGACAAAAAAATCGCTATGTACTCTCGTAGTTTTAAAAATTATAACATATGGAGGTTAAGTTTGAATATTTAATTAAAAACATCACTCCTCAAGAGAACGCGAAGAGATATGATATTTTTATTTTCAAATCGGCAATTCCCCTAGATCAATGAAAAAATAACACTAACCCCCCCCCCCCCCCAAAAAAAAGGAAAATATAACAATATATTTCAATTTTGCGTAAAAATATTTTTCTTATATTTTCATATGCAACTTGATAATAATAAAAAAATAATGATATTGATAAAAATAAAGATTTTCTTTTCCTGGGCATAAAACCAAATATTTCTTAATGTTTTACATATTTTTTATCAGTTTTGGAGATATTATGATAGTTTGTTATTTTATATACTAATCATTGATACACTTAACACGATTTTGATAGAATATTACTCAGAATAACAAACACGATTTTGATAGAATATTACTCAGAATAACACAGTGTTCTGTAAGAGAAACACATCACGGAAGGTTTTTAATGTTTCTTTATTTCCAAATGTACATGTACTATGGTTTATACTTCATTTTATAGTTACCTTTATAAAAGTATATTAGAACCCAATATCAAATTCTTTCTATGTTTAACATAACCCACGAGGTATTAAGTAATAGTAAATGTAAGTAAACATTTACCAATCAGCTTTGATGAGGTCTTTCTTGTTTTTCCTGGGATGATATTTATATCACCATCAGATCCATATGTTTTGATTCAGTATGTTTATTCTTACCCCACAGAACGTAGGTAATAAATTGGCATTACTTTATACTTTATAAATTGCTAATTATAAGAAAAAAATATTAAAATACTTGAAAAGACAACTGTTTAAGACCTGATCAGACTGTACAATTAAACGGTGCATTATTCAATATTGTACAAAGCCCTAAAATGGTAAGATAAAATGAACAAAAATAGTGGAAATATTGATGTTTTTGGAGCAAACATTGATTAACTTCTTGTTGTAATTTCATGTTAAATTGCGATAATTATTTGCTGATTGACACTTGACATGTACAACTTTTAAGATAAATCATTTTTAAGATAAAATTAACTGCTTTTTATATTTATTATATTCTGATATGTTACATTCAAATGTCTCGATCTCTCATCTGAATTATCGAACTTTTACAATAAATAAAAAAAAAAAGAATATATAATAATATATAATAATCTCGCTTCTATTCTTATTTTCTTGTACGAGCAGGTGCGTAATCTATGCACGTTTAACATTATAATTGTTTCTCTAAAAGCAAAATAGAAAAACGTTTGTTACATGTTAAACCATAAGGTCATTGAAAAAAAATATTCTAGTAAGACATGTGAACAGTAACAAATAAATATTCATATTTCAATATTCTAAATCGTCAAAAATTTGTCCAATATTCGTTTTATTTTTTCTCATTTTTTTATCTCCTTTGCCTTTCGTTTTTTTTTCTCTGTCTGTTTATTCCAGCAATCGTTAAATTGCGTGTGGCAATGATAAATGGTTATATCAGGTATCAAATATCTATCCTTGCCGATAGACTGAAAGCATAGTTTCACTTTATTCTGAAATTTAATTATTATTCTTAAACAGAGATAAGAATTTATGCTATTTTGATAGCCATCAAAGTGATGATGTACGTTCCCATGAGCCAAAACAAATTAGTTACTTACAGCTATGACGTATACAAAACGTATGTTTATTACCGTGGGCATTAGTTTGCAATCAAATCAATTGTTTTAACTTCGCACCACTGACACATTTGTTATTTATTGGATCGGATACTAATTTAAGCTTAATGAGTGCGAAATTGTTGGGTTTGTTGTTGTTGTTGTTGATTTGTTTGTTGTTGTTCCCCCACTATAGGGGGGGGGGCATTAAGATTTACCCTTGTCCGTCCGTCCGTCCTTCCGTCCGTCCGTCCGTCCGTCCGTTCTCACGTCGCACGTAGCTCAAAAAGTAATTGACCTAGAGTCATGAAACCTTACAGGATGTGTAGTTGTGCAACTGGGTATTTTCGTGAGGATATTTTTAGTAATTTTAGAGTTATTGCCCTTGAATTAGTTAAAATTTCCAATTTTCAACTTGTGCCGCACGTAACTAAAAAAAATATTTGACCTAGAGTCATGAAACCTTACATGAATGTTGATCAACATGTGAAGTTGTGCACCTGGGTATTTTTGTGTGGATTTGTTTAGTATTTTTAGAGTAATTGCCCTTGAATTAGTAAAAATTTTCAATTTTCAACTTGTGTGGCACGTAAATAAAAAAGTATTTGACCTAGAGTCATGAAACCTTCAGCATGTGTAGTTGTGCACCTGGGTATTTTTGTGTGGAGATTTTTAGTATTTTTTTAGTTATTGCTCTTGACTCAAAAAGTATTTGACCTATAGGCTGAAAGTTTACAAGAATGTTTATGACAGTTCGGAAAGAATTAACTTAAAACTTTCTAATGGTTATTATAACCAAAAGACCTGAAATAAAATGTGTTTTATTTTCTCCAGCAGACACATCGAATAACACAACATTGATATAGTAGAACTTATCTGTTGCTATACTTAGAAGCAAAAATTTACCCGAATACCCATATTTCCGTTGCCAACAAAAAATCAGGAAAATCAAACAGTTTTCTTTTTTCGCTGAAGTTAGATTTCATGTTTCGTAATTACTCATGCCAGACTTGTCAATGTCAAATATGTTCTCTAACTCCCTTACATAAAATAGAAACAAATCTTTTTACGTTAGATAATTTCTTCCATGCTGAAGCTGCTTCTAGATCACACAGGTGTTTAATTGCTAAATCAGAGATAGAAACTTATCGCATAAAAAGCGCCCCCATCACGTGGATCATCCGACTTGTTTGAAAGATTAACTGCATTCCGAAGCATTTTGCATCAAATACTTTCTCCATTTGAACTATCTTAACATAATCAAACAGGCAACATGAACAGTTAAAGATCTTTTTGTCTGTATCTATCACACACTGTAGTTGGAACGAAATTTATAGGGTGCCAGGTATATAAATTTTCTTTTCGTTAAAAGATAAACGCATTCTTTCCGTTTACAATACATTACACAAGCTTCCAAACAATTGCACCTTCAGTGTTGATGTCGGAAAGAGACTTTGCACAAAAATACAGACGCCATATGTTCCACGTAAATGTATTCTTTTCTAAAACCTAAGAATAGCAGTAAAATGATAGTGTTTTAGTTTTTAGTGTAGATGGATCACCAAGTGCAAACATAAGTGCTAAAAGAAAACAGGTTTCTTGTAAAAATGATGATATTGATTCACACTTATTCTTTAACAGTTGTCTAATTGTCGTCTGCAAACCAGTGATATAAGATAAGGTTCGAGACAACACCAAATTATCAAACAAAATACAAACATAATTATGAAGCTTATTGTTTTATAATATCAATATAGTTACACAGATTTTAGAAAGGCCATATGGTGCTCGGACTATCTAGTAAACGACCGTTTATATTCAGCCATAAAGTCTTTTATATAACGAAAATATTATGTTGCTTTCTTTGATCAAAAAACAATCATTAATAAATTTGCAGCACCAATGTATATAAATATATAAATGATATGAACGTCACAATTGTCCAATGAAAATCGACGTTACAAAAACAAAGTCAGTATTACAAAACAATGATGACCTATTGAAACATCAAGTATCAACTTACACATAGGCATTTCTTGACAGTGTATGCCTTCAACTTGGTTTGCAAGTTATTGAAAAATGTAAAGCACAATCGAACTAAAAAAGATTGTATAATCCAAATTCATCAAACACAATTCACAAACTAATTTTTTTCAATTAAATTTACAATGAGAGCAACATAAACACATACATTTCTAAGGATTACAATATTTTCATGTATAAAAGTTGACTTTAGGTTATTCAAAGAATGTAAATATTTTGTGTTTTTTTTTCATTGCCATATTAGTTATATATAACAATTATAACAATATATAGAATCGGCAGAAAGGGGTAGGTCATTGTTTTTGTTTCTTCAGTGTCCATTCATAAGTTTTGTTGCACTTTACTTGAAAAACATCTAGGCTTTTAGGGGAGGAAATTACGACACAAGAAAATTAAATACATTTTTGTAAAAAAAAGATAATTTTTAACTGTTTTTTATAAACTGTCTTCTTATTTCAGGAATACTTGGGAGAAAAGAAATATGTTCATCGTGATCTAGCTGCCAGAAATGTCCTTCTCGGGTTTGACAAAATTATCAAAGTTTGTGACTTTGGTTTATCACGTGACGTCTATAATGATAATCAGTATAAGAAATTGACCAATGGGAAACTCCCTCTGAAATGGATGGCAATAGAATCTCTAAGAGACCGTGTCTTCACTACTCAGAGTGACGTCTGGTCTTTTGGAATTTTGTTATGGGAAATTGTTACCATGGGTAAGACTTATATTATATTAAATCATTTCAATAGTTAAATTCATGTAAGAAAAATAGCATCGAAACAAGGGCTATCTGATTTGTACGAGTGGGCGTAGCCCCTGGGTATTAATCAGATTGTCGAGTGTTTTGATGTTCTTTCTTCTCTTTTGTATCATAGTCAAACATAAAAAGACGTTCCCTGTTTTCACAATATGATCACCAGAAAAAAGCAACCAATGAACGAGCTTCTAAAAATGATATTGTTATCTCTTTCCCTTTTTCTGCCGTCGCAATTAGTAAACCCCAGCAAAAATGAACCAACCAATAGGCATGCTCTGGTGTGCGGGTAACTCAAACCTGCACTTTACTTAACACACTGTGTATATGTATACGATTTTCAACAGAAAGGTTCTTAACTATGATACAAAAATCAATTTAATGCGTTTCTTTATGCAAATCTTCCGTAACTAGTAAAATAAAATAACGTTGTGATTTATTCATTCATGTAAAAGATTTTCACAAAATAGAATATATGTATACCTTTTATAATACTGAACGTTTGTTACGACGCTTTTAATTGGATAATCTTGATGTTTATATAATCCATATACACGGCTGCTGTTTAATTGTGAAGTCTTTTTTGTTTTTCTACATATATAGTATATGCTATCATGTCGTATATAAACTGTTGTTTGCAATATAAACCTCGCCTAATAGTTTGGGTCATAAAAACTTACAAACATGTATACTGAATCATATTACCTGTCAGACATCATGTCCTTATAACTAATAATATATCAATGTAAGCTATATGTACTATATTACAGGGGCATCACCATATCCTAACATTGCCTTAGCGGACCTGTACTATTTGTTGTCAAATAATTATCGCATGGAAAAACCAAGCAACTGTTCAGATGAAATGTGAGTATTCTGTGTGTCCAAACATGATTCTGGCATGTTATCAAAGAATATTTTTACACTTTTCACATATGATTAATGTTAAATAAGGTGTTCTCAACCAATAAAACATGGGTTCGAGCGCTTCAAGGGTCCCGACCATGTTTCCTCATATAACACAAGTGCTGGTTTGTTCCAGAACGCAGAGTCGAGAGTGGTTCGAAAACGTTTAAGCTTTCATTACAAATGAGCTAGCTAAAGAAAATGTTTAAACTTGATATTAAACCTATGGTAATTCAGAGCTTATTTGATTTGCGAAAGAGTTTATATGATATTTCTACAAAACTTCGACATATGATAATTGATAGTATATGGATCAAAGGCAGCTTGTAAAGTAGAAGTATAGAACAAATAAGAACTAATGGGAAAGAATTTGCATTTTGTAAATATTAAACTAAACATTTAAGCATAAACATTGGTTCTCTTACACAAGATTAGTATTGTGTAGTATAAGAGCGGCAAGTAATAAGCTCCATTCACATATTTACATTTTGATTTGCAGATACATAATCATGAGGCAATGCTGGTTAGAAAATCCAGTCGAAAGACCAAATTTCACCGACCTCCGTGTTCAATTGGAACTTTTGCTTACACGTGACCGGAACTACTTGGAATTGGACAATATTAACGTTCCTCTCTCCACACCGGAGAGTAGCAGCGGAAGTCCTGCTTCAGATGACACGAAATCACTTCTAGCTGCGCAGGCACTTCAACCTCAAAGAAAGTCATCAAAAGATGAACTTACAATTAATGTTAGCATACATGACAAATCGGTTGAAAGACTTCTTAAACGAAAAGGTGATTTCGATTCTCATAATATTACAATTTTATGAGACTGGGAACTCGGTGTTTTTGGAAATTTGAATTTAAATACATATCTTTATTAAATGACTGAGTTGTGTTTCTGCTTCTTCGCACAAATTAATTCGACCCTACGTTCATCTATTTATAGCACCAGAACGAGGTTTGATTGTTGAAATCAGGGTTAGGGTCAATAAATGTGACATTTAGAGCGTGAAACATTTAACTCGTGAAAGTTACTACTCGTTTCTTGACTTTTCTAGAGAGACTTAACGCGAGTAGAAGATGAGGTTGATGGTAATACGTTGTTATAGTTACGGGTATGATGTTCACATTGAGAAGAAGATGTACATAATTTGTTTTGATGAATATAGTTTTTCAACATAGTGGAAGGGATGCTTTTTAATTTGGAGGTGTTGACCTGTTATCTGTTTTTTATTTTTCAAAGAGAAAGGCCTGTATTATCAGGAGCTATAGATGAAAGCTACAGAGTTGTTGTTTAGAATCATTTTTAACAAAATATGTTTTTATTGTTAATACAGGGCATTGTTCTTGAATTACCTTTGTAAACTGCAGTCTATTAGCAGTCCATAATTACATATGCCAAGAAATATACAATAATAAACTTATATTCGCTGTAGTATGTTTAAATGCAATGTTACTGAAATTATAACACATCTCTTGCCGTGATTTAGGGGTGTTCAATCAGCAACTAATAGTTGCAGTATCAGTGAAACAGTATATTACTTATACTGGAGAGATGTCGGAATGGAATTTAATTCTTTATATTTTAACTTTTTAAGACTATATCAACAATGATTTGTCATGCACGGATTTTACCTTCATTCATTTTTGATAGGACCAAATTATCTGTTGTGGCACAAACTTGTTTTGCTTTTCATTTTAAGTTTTAGTCTCATTCTAACTTAACTTTACACTGAATTATAGTTTTACACTTATGTTTATGCTTGCCAGAATGATAAAATAATAAATCATGTACCTACATGTTTCATTTTTATTTAAAGATAGGTTGGTTGTTCATCCACAATTATGTAACGTAAAAATACCGGCTTTACAAAATTACTCTATTCAGAAATAAATCAACCTTATTTTAATATGCATGTATGTATAAAGGGAGGTAATACTGTATGTGATAGATTACCTACCGTTTACTATAATAGTTTACAGGGTAGGTCTCGAATTGAATATATTTCACTTTCGTTCCCTTTTTCTTTGACTTATGTTTGACCATTTATAAAAGCTGATATTTTCAGTTGGTTATTTATGTTGCTAAAATTTAAGAAACAATTGCTAACATAAATCATTCTCATTGAAATTATAACGCTTTTCAATTTACTTGTATTTCAATGGAGACAGTGTGGGCATATTTTTTATGTTACATGTGTTATGTTTAAAAAATGTGAAATCATACATTTAGAAGAGCATCTATTTTCACACCATGGACATTTATTATAACTATGTGAAATGATATGTTACTAATTCTAACAGTGCCGCGATGCTTTTTCTTTAAACAAAGTTTAGAAGTGTACAAAACTACATGATAATGCACCCGCTTTACTCAACTGTTGCTAACAATGTACATTGTAGAAGTTCTTTTTCAAAGCAAAAGAAAATTAAGTTAAGTTTTTGGTGTCAGGTATCGTGCAATGTTTTACGACAATCCACTCAAAGTTTGAATTTATTTTTTTATCTTTTAAAAAGAAAATTTTTCAAATTGTTGCGTTTACCGTATGTGCTATTATTGCGATAATGGCAATCACAGTTTTGACTTGGTATAATCAGTCGGATCACGACTACAAACAGAGTCTTATTCACAACGTGTAAGGCTTTAGTAAACTTAATGTAGTTTTCTATAATGGTAAGAAATTCTCTTAATTATTGAAGTTCATTTATGTCTTGTGTAGTCGTCCCTATTTTATTTTAAAAACAAAATTGTAAAGGCTTGTTTCTAGGCAACGAACAAAACGTTACGGCCCTTCTTATTGCAATTTTACTGTGTTGTTTTGGTGTCATCGTTGAAGCGTCTACGTTGTATCGTTTTTTTATGCACACGTGGAGTTTCACCGTTATTTTCTTTTAATAGTTTATTTTTTTCTTTTCGTGTGTCAATGCATTCGTGAAAATTATTTATTTACTTAATCATAATTTATTATTGATTAAAACAATATCTTTCCTAATAAGAAAACACTCTTTTTGAATTTTTAAGCTATTTTTTTCACCTATCAGTATATTTTGTTCTAATTCATAAATAGCATAAAAACATTTTTACATTTTGCGGTAATGATGAAAGCAGAAAAATTCTGGTATTTGGGGAGATTTATTTGGGGATATATAAATTGATGCTTTATATAAAAGAAAACATGGTTTAGAAAAAGTACTAACCACTTACAGCAAATTCTAGGTATAAAAAATCAATTAAAAATGATGCCACTTTTTATGTTTATTCAATTAAAAATTTTCCTACATTATGTTATGGATTTTCATTGTACTTCCTTTCGAATGTATATATTTTTCAAATGTGTATATACATACATGGAAATCTTATTTTTGTTTATTGTTATACAATGTCTTATAGGTGTAAATATTTGCATGGTATAAAATAATATGAAATGATTTGTTAAAATTTAGTAACGCACTGTCACGTGTCATCTTGTTTTGTGCATATTGCTCATTTCTTACAAAAATAAATGAAAACAAAATATGATTGGTACTTTTTTTATCTACATATACATATTAGTAGTGAAACCTGCCCCGGTGGATGTATGCAATGTAAATACAATAAACATTTGAACATCAATCGATCGGAATAAACTGGTGACCCTGGGATGACTTAATATTGACCAAAATGTCCATCATTTGAAAAACATTCAAAATGACCATAAATGTGAAATGAATACCAAATAAGCCCTAAGCAATTAGAAAATAAGATTTTAAAACTATCAACATAATATGAAAAGCAATACTGACCATCGGAGCGGTGCACGTTTTGGACCCAACCAACATTTTAGAGAATCACTTAATAATGTTAATTGCCAAATATTCAAGTAACACTTTCATTTTTTTTCCTATCCTTAAATCCTCTCAATTGAACATAATTTGTTAAGATGGTCTAAAAATATTAACAGGTAATCTCAAAACTTTATGCCACAGATATTGGCCTGTAACCGTACACATGTGTGCAGCTTTAACTAAAATCATTTTTAACATTATAAAGAAGAAATGAATAAGTTTTAAAAAGTGTTGAAGCAACAAACTAAATACAGTATTCCTTATATACCAGATAAGGCGCTTGAATGATTTAATGTGCTAAATCTCACCTTTACATTCAAAATAATTAATTTTGGAATGTCTAATTCTTCCTGCACACTGATTTGTATACGATAATCAATTAAAAATATATGAATCGGCGAAAAAGGCGATATTTTTTCTACTTTATGATCATGATTTCTGCAAGCGTTTATAGGTACTGCTCCAACAATGTAGTGAGTTTAAACCAGGAAGAATACTTTGCTCTTTCAGTAGCGACAACTGCGATCAGCAAAACAGGGTAAGTCCCCTATAAGAAAGAAACCTAGATCTCTTGTGAAATATGTTCAAGTATACAATGTACATTCCTACAGAAGACATGATAACAAAAATTGTTATTTCCTATATAAGTCTTTATAAACGAAGTGACCCAAGAGGCGGGCCAATATTGACTTTTGTTAAGGGCAATAAGGTGATGATACAAGCCAAATTTCTAAGCTCTGGTCATCGTAGTTTCTATGACGTAGTACTTCCAGACATTCTTAAGTCCACTAGGTATAATACATGCCAAAAATCTTTACTATAGACATGTGGTTTTAAAGAAGAAAACTTAATTGAACTTTCCAATATAAGTCTTTATAAATTAAGTGACCCAAGGGCGGGACTGTTTCTGACTGCAGGGGCTTGATGCATGTAACGAAGGTCATGCTTCGTTTAATATATATAAGCTCTCTCAGAAAAAGTTATTAAAATGTTACTATATAAGTCTATGTAATCTATGTGACCACCAGGGCCAGGTCACTTTTGACCAAATGGGCACGACATATATTTTATGCAGAAGACTAATACTACAAGCCAAATATCTAAGCTCTTAACATTGCAGTTTCATAGTGTTTAATAATGAGAAGAACAATGTGTTACATCTGTTTGTCAGTTCAAAACTGATGATTTATTCTAGATAAGCCCTTAACAAAGTTTCGTGAGCATATCAATTGTAATTGGTCATTATAATTATAAAATTCTGGGTGTGATGGGGTTAGTAAATCATGTGATATAAGATACTATTTATAAACATTAATACATGACTTAATTAGAGCCAATACGAATAAGTTGAAATTTCACAATGTTAAGTAATCAATAGTGTTTTAGATAAAATTTCAAAACAAATTATACAAAGTTGTCAAAATGTCTTTTGCACTAAACATTTGTCAAATGCTTTTACTCTTTCTGAAAAAGCATCATGCCATATATTTAATAATTATTAAATGTCTGTCAAACACATATTAAATTCAAATGTCTGTATCAGTCTAACTCATTATATAAAAGCTATATAGAACACCATTTAATTCAATTAATAATATAATCACAAACACTTGACTGAACAGTTTGTAACGGATTATCACTCTTTGGTGTTAATTGTAAATGTCTACGATTTCTGCGGTAAGTACCTCTAGGAGTTCCGACAATATACATGTATATGATCTACGATCTAGGTCAATGTCTTAAAAGTTGACCTCGATTTATCAGAATCAGTCTTAATCCTGACATTATCGCCTGGATTTAAATTCCTCAGTTGCCTGGTAACATTGCGTTGGTTGTAGTTGGTCCTACAACGTTCCTTATATTTAGCATCCCGTTATCGCATATCTCGTTCCATCCATTCTGGTGTTAATGTTGATGACATGGTAGGTAAGAGTGTACGAATCTTCCTACCCATCATCATTTTTGCTGAGCTAAGTCACGTTGCCTCATTTGGCGTTGAACTATAAGCCATTAGTGCCGCGAACATGTCCTCTTGGGGTTATATCTTTTTCGCGAATTTAAAAGAACTTTCAGCCTCACCATTAGACTGAGAATAATGAGGACTAGAAAATGTCTGCCTAAAACTGTACTTCTTTGCAAATGAATTAAATTCAGCTGATGTGAATTAAATACCGTTACCGGTTACAAGTTCTTCAGGAATTCCACAGCGCGAAAAAATGTTTTTTTCATTTTGCCTATTACATAATCACTTGTTAAGTGTTCAAGATAAGCAGTTTCAATGAGCCTAGAGTAATAGTCTGTCACTACGAGATAATATTTCCGATCTAGTTCGCACAAATCTGCTGCTATTTTCTGCCAATGTCTTTCTGGTAACTGTGTAACTTTCAAAGGCTCTTTACACTGAGTAGGTCTATTTACTTGACAGAATTCACAAGATTGAATTTTCTCTTGAATATCTTTCGAGATACCTGGCCACCAAATTGAACAGTTAACTTAGCTTTAGCACGGCTCTTGTTTAGTCGCAAATGACTTTCGTGAATGCTATATCTAAGACACCAGATTTAATTTGTTTATGAACAACAATTCTGTCTCGATAAAGTAACAGTCTTTGCACAATAGATAATTCACTACGTGATGCAAATATATCACGAAGTTCAGTTTGTACAGAATTCACTTTACTTGGCCAACCGTAACGCGTCATCTTCCGAAGCTGTGCGAATCTGTTCCAAGCGCAAATGTCCAATTGATCTAAATTTGTGAACTGCGATAGTATATATACTCTATCATGTCATACAATTTGTCAAATATGTCTGAGCCGACAGGACTTCTAGACAGTGTGTTACGAACCACTAAACTTTTCCTAGGTACTTACTCTGCTATTTAACTTTACCCACGGAGCCTCATGCATAAGCATACGCTGACATCTTTAGGGTGTTTTATCTAAACCCTAGCTGAGAGAGGAATTAACGGTTTATGATCAGTGAGTAATCTGAATGAGTCCAAACCTACGAGACTTTTCACAAGCATATGACGAGACTAAACATTCCTTTATAAAAGTATTTTTCAGTTCGGTATCTGTAAGTTTACGAAAAGGTTTAAGCGAAAAATTATCGTCAAGAACTTAAGCCGCCACTAAACCGAATCGGCACTGACGACTACTGGATTTGTCGCGTCATAGAATGTTGTGGGAGCTTCAGTAATAATATGCTTTACAGTGTTGAACGCGATTTCTTGAGCTGAATCCCATACGCATTAGTTTGATCATTTCAGTACATCTGTCAACCATTTGATAACATTGGTCAGATTCGGAATAAATCTACCTAGGTAATTCACTATACCAATTACTCGACGGAGCTCAGTGATGTTTGTTGGTGATGCCATATTTCTGATAGCGCTCACTCTGGCTGAGTTTGGCTAAATACCATTCTTTGAAATTCCATGTTCAAAATATTCAAAATGATCTTCGCGAAATTCACACTTAGTGCGATTCCATTTAAGTCCTGATTCATGTTTTCTATGAAGAACAGCTGTCAAATTCTAATCATGCTGCTTCTGATCTTTGCCAAACAAAAGCACATCATCCACAATGACATTGACCCCTTTAAGGTCATTTCAAGTCTTCATATGTCTCTGAAATATTTCCTGGGCTTATGTGATACCAAATGGGATCCGTTTGAAGCAGTAACGACCCATTGGTGTAATTAATATTTTAAGTTCGCAACTTCACTGTCCAGTGCAACCTGATAAAACCTACTATAGAAGCATCTAACTTTGAAAACATTGTAGATCCATTTAAGTAAGGTGAAATATCATCAAGATTGAGGAGCATTTAATGTTCACGATCACTGCATCATTCAATTTCTTCACATATTCGAATTTTATCGTTTTTCTTAGACACAGGTATTCTTAGCCTTAGCAATTCCGTCGGATGTATAACTTTTCAATAATGCCTTCTTGCTCTAATCTAGCAAGCTCAGATTCAACTTCGGAAAAAGTGGAAATGGAATTATACGCGCTGTTGTTTGACATTAGGTTTACAGTCCTCTTTAAGAGTTATTTTAACTGGGTCACACTTGAGTAATCAAAAAGGCCCAAATACTTACTGATCAATTTCAACATCATCTACTTTGTGTATTAAATTCATGTGTTCAGCCACTGAACGACAGATAAGACTACTATCAGCTGCTCAATTGATGAAATAAATAGGAAAAGTGTATATTTTCCGCTTTAATGTAGTTTCAGCCTTGGATATTCCAATACAATCCAGTTTACTACCTGGTCCCAATAGCTAGGGACCATTTTCCTTTGCAGATTTTTTTTCCATTTTAAGTCCTTCACTTGCTCTGTATAAGAATTTTAAATTTTATGTTATTATGCTTTTTGACCACAGTGGAGCGCTTTTAAAGTAAACGGCGTACCATTTATATCAGTATGTAACCAAACCAGATATTGATTGTACAATATTCATTCAAAAGATCGATATCAAAAACAGTTATATAATATCTGTTTGTTAACACGGTAACCACTGAGGGGTGTCTCTGCTTCTAAGAAACTAATGTTAAGTAAAACTTAATTACTGTTTTGACCATTTTCACTTTTCCTGAAATTAAACTTTAAGTTTGTTCATTAAAATATACACAGTCTGAAGTGTAATTACGCTTTCATGTGCTTTCTGCAGAATTGTGAAAATATGGTATGTACATCATTTATACTCTTCGTTTATATGGTTTCAGTACTTGAAAAACAACCAACGATTGTTTGTCTATCAGTTGCTGGACACATTTCCTTGTTTCATCTGATAGAATGTCTATACCACGACAGTCGGTGTTTGTGTCTTGTTCATCATGAAATACCATTTTAACCCTCAGAATAAACAAATCTTTCATGCAAGGTGATTCCGGACAGCAACGATCAATATCAAAAGAGATTGGGGTGCTTTGCAAAAAATTGAGGAGCCTTCCATCCTCGATGAGTATGTTGTTTAACACTAAAGTTAGTAAACAATTTAAATTCCGTGATAACATAAGATTGTGTCCTCTAAAATCTACAGCAGATATCTGAAGATGCTTCAGGCAGGTGAATGAAGGCAAAGCATGTGTGAGAGATGAAATGACGTCACCATCTTTGTAGAACATACCGCTCATATATGGCTCGTATACCACAAACGGAAGGAACGTGAGTACTTCCAATTCCTTGATATTCCCTACGTATCGAATTGTGTTTCTCCCTGACATATCGTCTAGACATATGACTTTAACTTGATCTGGTACAGAAAAACCAATATCACAATGCAGGATATGGATATGCACAAGATGTCTGTGTGAACTTAGGTCAATCGGTTTATCATCACTTACATTTCCATACATACCAACTGTCCCCATGTTTTCTAGGTATAATGACTTTAGTAGTTTTAGGTTTGAGATAAGCAAAGACAATTGTGCCGACCAAGTGTCATTATAACAGCGAAAGTTCGTGAATGCAACATTTTGTAACTGTATCATTTGACTTAAAGAGCGACATACATTTTCAAAAATGGTATGTCTACTCTCATCTATACCTGTATCATTGAAATCAAGATGTAGCTTTGTCAATGTATTGTGAGATCGAACAAAGATTTTAGATATACTGTCGACCACTGCAAGAAATGAAGAATCAGAGATATGCAAACTTGTCAGTGGCCCTTTGTGATGTACTGCCCGAGACGACGAAAGGTCTGTGTAATTCAATGACAACGTTTGCACGTATTCGTGATCAACGTGTTTATATAGTTCCAGATCAGTTATCTCTGAGCAAACAAGCTGTATGTCTTCATGTCCACATCTCTTGCTTTCATCAATCCAGTCCAAAAATAGTGCATTCATTCTGGTGATAACGTCATTTGCTTCATATATGAGACGTCCACATATTGTGGCATATAAACTTTTGCTATACGTTGAAGACAAAGATAACGAATCACTTGTGTTTCTCTCCCGAACAATAACATTTTGGACGCGCATTGATATTTCCTTACAAATGACTGGATTCATACCACATAAAAATTTAAATACCAATGAGAATGAGAGCACGTCATGGAATGACTTGCACGATCGGTCTATAGAATCAAAAATACTTCTTGAAAGAGTTTTGTCTCTAGCGTAAACGGCTATATGAAGTGCAGCCAGAAACTCTTGAAAGGTTTTGTGAATAAAAGCCAAGGTCTTGTACCTGGTTACAGCTTTGATACCAACAGCTTCATTTTGTGTTAGAATTCCAATAGCTAGACATTGGTCCAACTGTGAGGTAGACATTCCACAAATTTCTGTCTGAGAACTGGGAAAAGCCAATTGCTGATCAGTGAACAATGTCACAAAAGCAACTTTTGCAAGAGATAATATAAGAAGCCCGTATGTAATACATTCCGTTTTTTCTTGAAAACAGGGTGGGAAAACATTTGACTCTGATTCATTCAATGGGGAGTGTAACTTTTTGTTATGTTCAGCGACTTGAATCAGCAATTTAAGCATACTACTGTATATATCGCATTGTGACTTCCCTAGGCTTTCTTCATCGTGCCAGACACAAACCATTTGCTGAAGTAGTATAGGTATTTTGCTTAATTCATTCAAGTTTTTAACAAGTACTTCTTTTTCAAAACAGTTTAATAATCTACTACGTTTTAAAGCAGCATTCAAATGCGTAATCATGATTTCAGCCAACTTGTTTGTTGACGAAGTACTAAATTCAAGCAGTTCGATGTTAATATCTATCTCTGTTTCCTTCAGGCGAAGTTTTTCAAGAACCCATGGACGTGTTGTTGTGATAACTGAGTATTTAGACATTAAATTTCTTCGAGGAACTGCATTTCTTTTAATATTGTCCCATTCATCTAAACCATCCAGCATGATAAGACATTTGTCAGAGTCTTCCTCTAATATCCTCTCAAACAGATCTTTGTACCGTCGAGTCTGTAATATCTGATTCTTGATCATATCATTAAGACTATCCTCATCTTTGCAATGTCTGAGAGATACAAAGAAAAGGAATTCGAACGGTTTCATCTCTAAAGCTATTTCTAACGGGTCACTTGTGTCCAATATATCAGGTCTAGTTTGCTCTGTGTTTGTCCCATGCATCTTACACCATTCACTTATAAATTTTTTACATATTGCCGATTTTCCAATTCCTGCCTTGCCGGTTATGTATATATTTTGATTGCGTTTATTCTCTGAACAAAATATATCTTTGAACGATGTTATGTCAGACTCATTACTCTGCTTTGATTTGACTTTTCTTATTGTAGGTTTTACAAATGTTTTATCCACCATTAATTCTTTTTCTTGCATTAATGGATGTACAGGTATCCCTCTATAGTGATTGTTATACAGGTAAATGAGGTCTCTTTGAAGGGCTAAAATGTAAAACATGTCAAGGTGTATTTATTAATGACATTATATCTTTAAAAGATATCTTTCTCACCTTTCACAAGAAATATAACAAAGTAAAATAACAACTTATTCTTATAGATGAACTTAGCAGATGAAATTACTTTCCAGCAAAATTGATACAGAACTATCAATAGAAACGATGACAGAAAGGACAAACGTTTTGTATACTTTAAACGGTAAAATGTATTGTTTTTCTTTGCATTTTAGTATGTATGACATAACTAACCTTTCTTTTCGCCAATGTACTTTAGTTTGTCCTCGTGCTCCGGTCTTGTTTTAGAATAAAGTTCATTTGATTTCATTCTAACTAATTCCTATAAAAACATGAAGACTAAAATAAAATAGGTATAAGTAGTCGATTCCTCATTCTATTTATCTAAGGAAAAATATTAAACGAATTATTAATCTTAAGTAATCATTAAAGATCCTGTATGTTGTAATTACACTTAAGTGCAAATTTATAGATGTATATAATTATGCTTATAAAACAATTTAAAACATCAAAGAATATGTAAAATATGTACTGCAAATATTTGTCCACATTAAATGTAAACATTAAAATATATGCATTCATTTCTTATTGAAACATTTGACTTAGACTTTATAGAAAATAAATTTCTAATTACCTCCCTTTACTTACACGAAATGCTAAATTCGGCAATATCTTTATAAATAATGCTTTTTGGAATTTACATTATTGATAAATCTTAATTTGATCATCATATTTATGATATAAACACATATAAAATTTGTGTAACAGGATCTTTAATGAAAGGACATATCATAAAATTTGAATCAAATACATTTTTATAGCTGTGAAGATCAGATGGCGATAATTGCTTTGTTAATATACCTGATTAATTTCCTCCACCTGTAGATGAAGCTGATGGTGACTATTTCTTAAATCACCAAGAGAATGTTCGAATTCTGCTTGTTTCTGCTGAAGCATCTGTATTGTTTGATCGGTACCCTCTAGCCGTGTATCTAATTCATCTGTTTTTTTTATTTTTTGTTGAAGTCCACACGTCTGAATTTCATCAATAACTTCTCTCTGTTTTTCTCTGATTGATTCTAAAGCACACTGTTCTAACTCCTTAATAGCATCAATTGCAGATTTTCTTATACTTTCTTCGTTGTAGATAGTAATAACAAAATTTTGATTTCTCAGCTGTAAAAAATAGTGTCTAAAAAGTTGCAAGTTGGACACAACAAACCATTTAATTAGATTTCTTAAAAATGATTATTTCCCTTTTTTAAAACTAGAACTGCCACTATCATGGCGTGAATACCCCCGCAGTGGCCATTTAGAGCTAAAGAACAACCTCCCTGCCAAATCTGAGGTTACTAAGCCAGTGCATTGCTAAGTTATGTATTCTACATGCTTCAAATGTGAAAATGTCAAAATCAATATATTGCGGACAGACATTCTTTAGCAATTGAGAAGAAAAGCTTTTTTTTGTCAAGGTCCCTGTAACCTTGACCTTTGACCCAGTGACCTCAAAATAAATAGTGGTCACCTTATAGTCATGATCAACATCCATGCCAAATATGAAGACTGTGGGTCAAAGGAATCTTAAGTTATTGGGCGGACAAGCTTTTTGAAGTCAAGGCCCCTGTGACCTTGACCTTTGACCTGGTGACCTCAAAATCAATAGGGGTCATCTACTAATCATGACTAACCTCCATGCCAAATATGAAGACTGTGGGTCAAAGGAATCTTAAGTTATTGGGCGGACAACCTTTTTGAAGTCAAGGCCCCTGTGACCTTGACCTTTGACCTGGTGACCTCAAAGTCAATAGGGGTCATCTACTTATCATGACTAGCCTCCATGCCAAATATGAAGACTGTGGGTCAAAGGAATCTTTAGTTATAGGGCGGACAAGCTTTTTGAAGTCAAGGCCCCTGTGACCTTGACCTTTGACCTGGTGACCTCAAGGTCAATAGGGGTCATCTACTTATCATGACTAGCCTCCATGCCAAATATGAAGACTGTGGGTCAAAGGAATCTTAAGTTATAGGGCGGACAACTTTTTGAAGTCAAGGCCCCTGTGACCTTGACCTTTGACCTGGTGACGTCAAAGTCAATAGGGGTCATCTACTAATCATGACTAACCTCCATGCCAAATATGAAGACTGTGGGTCAAAGGAATCTTAAGTTATTGGGCGGACAAGCTTTTTGAAGTCAAGGCCCCTGTGACCTTGACCTTTGACCTGGTGACCTCAAAATCAATAGGGGTCATCTACTAATCATGACTAACCTCCATGCCAAATATGAAGACTGTGGGTCAAAGGAATCTTAAGTTATTGGGCGGACAACCTTTTTGAAGTCAAGGCCCCTGTGACCTTGACCTTTGACCTGGTGACCTCAAAGTCAATAGGGGTCATCTACTTATCATGACTAGCCTCCATGCCAAATATGAAGACTGTGGGTCAAAGGAATCTTAAGTTATAGGGCGGACAAGCTTTTTGAAGTCAAGGCCCCTGTGACCTTGACCTTTGACCTGGTGACCTCAAAGTCAATAGGGGTCATCTACTTATCATGACTAGCCTCCATGCCAAATATGAAGACTGTGGGTCAAAGGAATCTTAAGTTATAGGGCGGACAAGCTTTTTGAAGTCAAGGCCCCTGTGACCTTGACCTTTGACCTGGTGACCTCAAAGTCAATAGGGGTCATCTACTAATCATGACTAACCTCCATGCCAAATATGAAGACTGTGGGTCAAAGGAATCTTAAGTTATTGGGCGGACAAGCTTTTTGAAGTCAAGGCCCCTGTGACCTTGACCTTTGACCTGGTGACCTCAAAATCAATAGGGGTCATCTACTAATCATGACTAGCCTCCATGCCAAATATGAAGACTGTGGGTCAAAGGAATCTTAAGTTATAGGGCGGACAAGCTTTTTGAAGTCAAGGCCCCTGTGACCTTGACCTTTGACCTGGTGACCTCAAAGTCAATAGGGGTCATCTACTAATCATGACTAACCTCCATGCCAAATATGAAGACTGTGGGTCAAAGGAATCTTAAGTTATTGGGCGGACAAGCTTTTTGAAGTCAAGGCCCCTGTGACCTTGACCTTTGACCTGGTGACCTCAAAATCAATAGGGGTCATCTACTAATCATGACTAACCTCCATTCCAAATATGATGACTGTGGGTCAAAGGAATCTTAAGTTATTGGGCGGACAAGCTTTTTGAAGTCAAGGCCCTGTGACCTTGACCTTTGGCCTGGTGACCTCAAAATCAATAGGGGTCATCTACTAATCATGACTAACCTCCATGCCAACTATGATGACTGTAGGTCAAAGGAATCTTAAGTTATTGGGCGGACAAGCTTTTGAAGTCAAGGCCCCTGTGACCTTGACCTTTGACCTAGTGACCTCAAAATCAATAGGGGTCATCTACTAATCATAACTAACCTCCATGCCAGATATGAAGACTAAGGGTCAAAGGAATCTTAAGTTATTGGGCGGACAAGGAAAAACCGACGGACGGCCGGACGGCCGGACAGCCGGACGGACGGACAAGCTGATTCCAGTATACACCCCTTACAACTTTGTTGTGCGGGGGTATAAAAAGGTAACATAAGTGAATAAATCATGTGTGTATCTTTTAAAAATCAAAAATTTAATAATACGTGTATATTACAATTCAAATATGGCAAAATGTTAAGTCATACAATTGGTGATCTGAATTCATAAAAGCATTCGAACCTTCAACTACAAACAGAAAGCCAAACACCTAGGCTGGAAATATGAGTTTTATGCTGGTTATTTTAAGATATACATATATCCATGTGCCATACATTAAAATTCCTATTTACTTCGGATTCCAATTCTTATCGACAAAAAGTAACTGTTTATTTAAATGTCTCAGTTCAATATTGCAAAACAATAAAACATTCTATTTTAACCATATCTTAAGATTGCTTGGAACATGAATGTTAAGGGAAAAGAAGAAAAATACTTTCATTACTTCCATAGTACATTTATCGAAGAAATGATAAAGCGAATTCTTGAAAAATATAACATAATGTAATTTCATTGGCATCCTACAGCTAAACCGTTGACTGAACTTCAAATAATATTAATTAGTAAATTATAAATGAGTAATGCTAACTATTTCTTAGACGAAAAATGATATACAATGTATCAATTTAGAATATAAACAAGAAATGTGTCCATAGGACACGGGTGCCCCCACACGTCACTGTTCTGTCAATCTTATGATTCAAGGTCAAATATTTTTTAGACTAAATGTGCCACAAGTTGAAAACTAAAATTCTTTTACTTAGTAAAGGGCAAGAACTTTACAAATACTGAATAAATCCACAAGCAAACCCCAAGGTGCATATGTACACATGCTGACCAACATTGTTGTAAACTTTCAGGCCTACAAGTCAAGTACGTTTTGAGCTATGCATGAATAAGTTGAAAATTGCAAATTTATACTACTGTTAGTCAAGGGCAATAACTCTAACAAAACTGAAAAAAATCCACATGCAAAGTCCCAGGTACATAGCTTCACAGTGATGTTGATCATTTTTCCTCTAATTTAGTGATTTTGATCATTATTATGCCCCCACTTCGAAGAAGAGGGGGTATATTGCTTTGCACTTGTCGGTCCGTCGGTCCGTCGGTCCGTAGACCAAATGGTTTCCGAGTGATAACTAAAGAACCCTTAGGCCTAGGAACTTCAAACTTGGTATGGTGATTGGTCATGACCAGTAGATGACCCCTATTGATTTTGGGGTCAAGGGGTCAAAGGTCAAGGTCACATTGACCTTGTATGTTAAAACGGTTTCCGATCAATAACTAAAGAACGCTTAGGCCTAGGATCTTCAAACTTGATATGGTGATTGGTCATGACCAGCAGATGACCCCTATTGATTTTGGGGTCAATGGGTCAAAGGTCAAGGTCACATTGACCTTGTATGTTAAAACGGTTTCCGATCAATAACTAAAGAACGCTTAGGCCTAGGATCTTCAAACTTGATATGGTGATTGGTCATGACCAGCAGATGACCCCTATTGATTTTGGGGTCAAGGGGTCAAAGGTCAAGGTCACATTGACATTGTAGGTAAAAACGGTTTCCGATCAATAACTTAAGAACCCGCAGGCCTAGGAACTTCAACCTTGGTATGGTGATTGGTCATGATCAGCAGATGACCCCTATTGATTTTGGGGTCAAGGGGTCAAAGGTCAAGGTCATATTGACATTGTAGGTAAAAACGGTTTCCGATCAATAACTAAAGAACCCTTAGGCCTAGAAACTTCAAACTTGGTATGATGATCGGTCATGACCAGCAGATGACCCCTATTGATTTAGGGGTCAAAGGTCAAGGTCACATTGACCTTGTAGGTAAAAACGGTTTCCGATCAATAACTAAAGAACCCTTAGGCCTAGAGACATCAAAATTTGTGAGATGATTGGTCATGACCAGCAGATGACCCCTATTGATATTGGGGTCAAGGAGTCAAAGGTCAAGGTCACATTGACCTTGTAGGTAAAAACGGTTTCTGATCAATAACTTAAGAACACTTAGGCCTAGGAATTTCAAACTTGGTATGATGATGACCAGCATATGACCCCTATTGATTTTAGGGTCAAAGGTATAGGTCACATTGACGTTTTAGGTAAAAACGGTTTCTGATCAATAACTAAAAAAGGCTTAGGCCTAGGTACTTCAAACTTGGTATGATGATTGGTCATGACCAGCAGATGACCCCTATTGATTTTTGGGTCAAGGGGTCAAAGGTCAAGGTCACATTGACCCTGTAGGTAAAACGGTTTCCGATCAATAACTAAAAAACCCTTAGGCCTAGGAACTTCAAACTTGGTATGATGATTGGTCATGACCAGTAGATGACCCCTATTGATTTTGGGGTCAAGGGGTCAATGTCATAGTGACCTTGTACTTAATGACTGTTTCTGACCAGTAACTCAACAACTCAAGTTGCCTTGGTTGATATTTTATGTGCTTTTGGTATACACATTTGAGGGTCTTATGTAATATAACAACTTGGCCGTCATTAATGTATATATTATTTGGTAAGATTTTTTATAACTTTAATTGCTGCATACAACCTATGGGGTCACAATAATTATGCCCCCACTTTGAAGAAGAGGGGGTATATTGCTTTGCACTTGTCGGTCCGTCCGGTCCGTCGGTCCGTCGGTCCGTCGGTCCGTAGACCAAATGGTTTCCGAGTGATAACTAAAGAACCCTTAGGCATAGGAACTTCAAACTTGGTATGGTGATTGGTCATGACCAGTAGATGACACCTATTGATTTTGGGGTCAATGGGTCAAAGGTCAAGGTCACATTGACCTTGTAAGCAAAAACGGTTTCCGATCAATAACTAAAGAACCCTAAGGCCTAGGAACTTCAAACTTGGTATGGTGATTGGTCATGACCAGTAAATGACTCCTATTGATTTTGAGGTCAAGGGGTCAAAGGTCAAGGTCACATTGACCTCTTAGGTAAAAACGGTTTCTGATCAATAACTTAAGAACCCCTAGGCCCAGAGACTTCAAACTTGATATGGTGATTGGCCATGATCAGTAGATGACCCCTATTGATTTTGGGGTCAAGGGGTCAAAGGTCAAGGTCACATTGACCTTGTAAGTAAAAACGGTTTCCGATCAATAACTAAAGAAGCCTTAGGCCTAGGAACTTATAACTTGGTATGGTGATTGGTCATGACCAGCAGATGACCCCTATTGATTTTGGGGTTTAGGGGTCAAAGGTCAAGGTCACATTGACCTTGTAGGTAAAAACAGTTTCTGATCGATAACTTAAGAACCCTTAGACCTAGGAACTTCAAACTTGGTATGATGATTGGTCATGATCAATAGATGACCCATATTGATTTTGGGTTCAAAGGGTCAAAGGTCAAGGTCACATTGACCTCTTAGGTAAAAACGGTTTCCGATCAATAACTAAAGAACGCTTAGGCCTGGGACCTTCAAACTTTGTATGATGATTGATCATGACCAGCAGATGACCCCTATTGATTTTGGGTTCAAGGGGTCAATGTCATATTTACCTTGTACTTAATGACGGTTTCTGACCAATAACTCAACAACTCAAATTTTTTATATTTAACTAAAAATGCTTTTGGTATACACATTTGAAGGTCTTATGTAATAAAACAACTTGGCTGTCATTAATGAGGCCTACATGATTCATAAAATTTATGCATATATTATTTTATTATTATTATTTTACTGGGTCAAAAGTCATGCATAATAACCTGATCACATGATAAATTGGCTGCTGATAGGGGGCATACATGTTTTACAAACATATCTTGTTCCTGTAAAGTTGGTTGATTCTAACTCAAGCACTCAAGGAACAAAAATAACACAACATAATGAAACGGTTTATACTAAGTCAAGGGCAATAACTCAAATACTGGATAAATCCACAAGCGAAACCCAAGGTGCACAACTACATATGCTGAGCAACATCCCGTAAGGTTTCATGACTCTATGTCAAATCCTCTTTGTGTTTTGAGTTACATGCGACAAAAGTTAAAAAATGCAAAAAAATCTATGCCCCCCCCCCCCCCGTAAAGTGGGGGCACAAAAAGAAAGACTAAAACATTTAATATGAAAATTGATTTAAATCATTTACCCGTCTGATGTTTTCCCTAGCATCAATTGCCGATTGAGTATTTTTCAGTTGCTTTTCGTCTTCAAGTATAGCTACCATGTTATCGAGAATTGCTCCTAACTTAGCATCTTCCAGCTCTAAACTTGAAGAATGGAATAAGCTGTCACGTGCTGCTCTTGTCTACAGAAACAAGTACATAATTCAAGTTAATATAAAGTACCAAAGTCAAAGTATTTAAGGACACTTTATTTGAACTAGACAAAAAGAGAAAAAAATCCAAAGAAAATTAAATATTGTGAAATGTACAACATTACAAATTTTGAGTCTCTTGCATTTTTAAAATTGTTTTTATTGTTCCTGTAAGTCAAGATTGTAAATAGAAAACCAAGTCAGTTATATTAATTAAACTACAGCAGCACAAAATATAAAACCAGAGTAACATTTTATGACGTTGTCAGGACGTCGTGTACTGATGACGTCATCAACACATGACGTAATTTCCTGTTTTGTTCAAAATGGACGCCAGCAGAGAAAACCAAATATTTTACATATTTACAAGGCTGCAACTTGGAGAATAATTGAAGCAATTCATGCTGATTTATTTACTGTACTGTATATACAGACTTAGCTGAACCATATAACACATGTGCCAGGTGGGTAAGGGAATTTAAAGATGGTAGAAAGCTGCTTACTGACAAGCCACGTCCAGGAGCATCAAAATCGAAGGTGAACGAGACTTTAATCGCGAATATAAAAATCAGGTAGACAATGATCCCAATGTTTCTCTCCGTGAAATAAGTTCAGACTTAGATGTTTCGATCGGTACAAACCACAAAGTGATTCGTGAAGAATTGGAACTAAAAAGATTTCTGCAAGGTGGGTACACTCCAGAAGAGAAGAAAAATAGGGTTAGTTGTGCCAAGCAACTTTTTGACATGTTCGAGTCTAAGGGACCTAAAGAATATCAGACATAGACACTGGAGATGAAACTTGGATATACTTCTATGGGATCCCAAAAAGAACGCTCTAACATGATGTGGCTGACAATAGATGACCCCAGAACCATGGTCTGTAAACCTGGTTTTCAGAGTCGGAAGAGGCTTTTTACAACTTTTTTCAACCATGAAGGGCAGGTGGCTGTAGATTTGCTTCCAGAAAAATCAACCATGACTGACAGATATTACCGAAAAAGGTGCTCCCGCAAGTGGTTTCTAAAATAAATGACAGTCGCCCCATTACAGGAACCTCCAGAATCATGATTTTGCATGACAAAGCCAGTGCCCATAAAACAGGGGCCGTCACTCAGTACCTATTAGAGAACCATATTTCTACTCTTCCCCATCCTGCCTACAGTCCTGACTTGGCCCCATGCGACTTCTGGTTATTTCCTAAACTAAAGGAACTTTTAGCTGGAAACAAATATACCCGTGCCCAAGACTTGTCAAAAGCGGTAAATGGGAGTTACGGGGTATACCTAGAGAAGAGTACCAGACAGCTAAATGGCGCAGACGGCTACAACTGTGTATAGAGGGAGGAGGAAAGTACTTTTAGGGACTCTGAAAAAATATTCAAAATCGCTTACTAAACACAAGAGATAATAAGCTATTTTCATTATTAAATGAACACCCCTCGTAGTATATGTTTTATATGTTTTATCCTTAATTGAGATAATAAATAAAAAAGTTTGGTCGTTCTGTGGAGATATTGAACACTTATGTCTGTAGATTTTCTTTTTCAGTCAGAAAAGTTATCATTATTAAAATTTTAAGCGTTTAAAATCCTTAATTTAAAGCTGCATTCCTCCAGATGAGCCAATTTATTTCAAGGTAATCAACCTTGAGAAAATGTACCTATGATTTTAAAGTTAAAAACTCTAAATGTACTAAAGATTTTTAAAACAGTAAAATATTCACAATTCAAAATATGATTCAGATGTTTTATGCAATTCATGTATGATTTTGCAGTAAGGGTCTTTTTTGCATATTCTGACCTATTTTTGGGAATTTTCGTAGATTTTAAGTGCCGTTTGCAATCTGTAAATTACTTTCTTTGTTCACTTGACAATGTTACTTTTTTTATTACATTTTATAAATGTTCTTTATAATTAGCATAAATCTGGAGGCATGCTACTTTAACGTGGAACATTTGCTTTTTTACTGTTTAAAATTTACTTCCTTTAATGGGCTTTTTTTCTGCATAACTTTTCCTTTTAAAAGCATGTTTACGTATCTGACGTAACTCCTCGTCTAAATTTAGTTAAAGAGTAGGAGCCAGCTTCTTGCTAGCCTTTTAAAAGAGTCTAGTTACAGTTTATCTAAAGTCACCACAAATCGCATTATATCAGATATGAAGCCGAAATTTACTATAACTCTATATGATATAAGAACATATTAATTAAGATAGTAATTATCGATAATGTTTTTATCATTGTATTTAATGTACATTCGAATAACATAAAAATGCAAACGTTATATTAAACAAATACTAAACGGTTATGAAACCAGGAAAATGAAAACTTTACATCAATGATTAAAACAGATAAAAATAAAAATATATATGGTAAAAATACCTTTGAGAATATGTCGTTCGGAGCATCAATCACAGTGTCAAAGAGGGTATGCATTATTGTGTTGTTGATGATAATGTTTAATAGCCCTGCACAGTCTGTGTCGTGAGCTGCAACATTCGCATAGTATCCTCCAGCTGGGATAAATACCTTCGCAATTTGCCAGTAATTATCAAACCATTGTGAAACGTCTGTATTTTTCCAATTAGGGGATGAATATCGGTGTTGAATGATAAGTGTGTCATAGATTGCGCTACAAAGTCTACTAGGACAAAGTGTTTTCCCCCGCGATGACCGACAATTACATGACGGCCTATGTTCTAAAGGGCATTTGTTGCCTGGATCTGGTGTATGGATTGGAAGTAGTGTTTCTAGTCGGCAACGTCCACATCTTGAACGTGCGCCATGGGTTCTGTCAATGTCAGAAAGAATGTCACTATGTTGCCTCTTAATTGCATCATCAACAAGGGGAGCTAACCCATTTCCTAAATACTTAAGGCCAAGGCCGGCTTTTACCCAGTTTCTGTACTTGGTATTCTTCAATTGTTGGTCATGAAACATTGTTACAACTTCAATATTTCACGTTTCCTGAAACTAAATTTAAAACAATAATGTTTTGATAATGGATCTAATTGTGTTCTCTTGTGGTGAGCCATACTCAACTACATTTTTTATTTTTGTAAATACATGCATATGACAAATTACCAGACTACTTACAGCACATTCTAAAGATATGTACACAAAGTTAAAAGTATACAGTAAAGAGTTTAAAGTTAAAATTAAACATTAAGCTGTATGTTTTAAAACAGGAATTAAAATTTATTACCAGCCATCTTAAATCCCGCTAGACTTGACGTGTTTAACAAACAGTCGGGCATACTTCCTGATCGGGACACAAGGGAATTCCCCTTGTTCGATTGGTTAGCCTTGACGGGTAATTCCCTTGTTTGCAAAAAGCGCGAAATTTGAAAAGGTAAACGTATTTATTGGGTACAGTAAGGAAATAAAAGTAAAAGGCAAAACAGGTTTATATTCTTATGATAAAGAGAGTTAAAATTTCATGTTATCTGTATTTGTTTGTTTGTTATATAAAATGTTTAAAAGTTCTTAAACTTAAATGAATAAGTATCCGAACAGTCAAAAGCAGTGATTTTAATCATACGCACTTGATGGTAAAAAATGTTTTTGATCGACTACCCTTTGTGACCGACTACGCGACGTGATTTTTATAAACTTTTAACTATAACACGCACACACCTATCAATTCGACGAAAACGTCTTTTTAAAAAATAGATATATCTATTGTGTATACGTATCTCGCCATGTTACCAAGCAACAGATCTGACGTCAGAATATATAAACTGAACTGTTTCCCTAATCGGTACATGATTTAAAAATTATAATTAGAGCCATGCTTGCCTCTTGTCTCCAAGTCAGTAAAAGAATGTTCCATAAGGAAGGTTCGTGCAAAAATACCTGCATTACAAATACCTAGTCAAACTAGGCAAAAATGTATGCCAACTATCTTACATAGTACATATATATACATTATTGTAAGAATGAGTGATAGTGTATGATTTACAAAAGGTATGAATACTTTTAAAATACAGCATGCATATGCTTCCATTAAAAAAGTCGCAATAGACATAAGATATATGTATATCATGGATGCCTCGTCGTAATCATCTCATTAGCTGTTATTAAAACTAGTTCTCTGAAGTTACAGTTTTAAAAGTATTTTAAAAATGTTGATAAAATGTTATTGTTTGTTTCATTTTTTTTCTGTCTCAGACACGAGCGGGCACCTGAGTAAACCCTCCGACTTTTTGTAACCTAACTTAAAAGCTTCCAATGAAAGAATCCAAAAGCCCAGACGGAATTCGTGTCCACAGCAATAAGGCAAGTTGTTAGAAGGCAATGACCTTAACCTCTCGTCTACGGAGGTCCCAAGTTTTTTATTAATAAGGCACAAAACACCATTCGTCTTCTATATACCTTATAAATCTGTAGCTGAAAAGAACAACAGTTATAGAGTGATACATGGTTTGCGAGAAAAGTGTATAATTTCGACATACTATAACAAAAGTGTTCGCATTTGCTTAAATTCGTAGTGTGTCCGTTTGAATAAAGCAATATTTTTCTTTTTGTAAGAGACGAGAATTATACGTGTGTTCTTATACATGTATATTGTAATGGTGTAAAAACATCTAGTAAGCATTTAACAACAAACGGGTTCTTATACTCTCTACTTCGAAATGTGTATGTAAATGTTCTCGAAAAAACTACAAAACTTTTGTATAACGATAGAAGTCTGACGACGCGATGGACACAGTGAGCTGTCGCACCCTATGGGGATCCCTTTCTCATAGAGTATCAAAGTGGAGTTCTGTTCGGTGAATTGCAAAACATAAATTGTGGTTCACTATATGACGAAAAGCATGCACATCGTCGAATAGAGCTCTCGTGGTGAAAATAATGTGCGATCACAATGGAACTTCTTAATGGAAATAGAAACATAAGCAAGATAAAAGTGGACTGTCTTCAAATGATCAGATGGTTCTCTGTATGATCTCAATCATTGGTTTTACTTAAAGCTTAAAAGCATGTACAATATTTTAATATAAGAAAGAAATTGACTCATTCATCCAAAAAAGTAAGAGTTATTTGTTTCTTCCGGTCCATGATTTTAATAATTTTCAAAGAATATATGTTATTATGGATATAACAGATGGATATACAAAATGCATTTACTCACACAAAAAACCTCTAAAATAATATTTTTAAAGACAGACATTGGAACAGACACAACGGATAGACAAACGGAGAGACAGTCAGGAAATTAAACAGAGAAGCATACGATAAACGGACGGAAAAATCTTATTACTGTTGTATAGAAATTTCATATCATGTCATGTTGTGCTTGTTAATACAAAGATTGATACATTTTCACTTGCAGCAATTACTCCTGAATACAATTCCTGTCAAATGTTGGAGCATAATTCAGTGAAAAGCGTCAAATAGTGGTCCTCTATACGGAAACATCTACGAATAGATCATCCCTCGGTGCTCTTATAGGAAGGATTCATATGCGCTTATAATTATTGAAATACTGACTTTCTTTCCTGAGGGTCACCTTTTTAACGGCTTCTCACGTAGAAAATCACTGTGTCAGTTTGCAATTGTGGTCACAATATATTTTATCTAAACATATCATTGCAACAATATAAGGTATTGGAGCGTCATTACAAGTGATTTCAATAAATATCTTATTTCATCTACAAAGCAAAATTTTAAAATGACCTCTAAATTAAATGAACAAATCTGTGAGAAGTATTCTTAACTATTAAACCGGTATTACCCACTTATTCTAAATAGACAGTCCTGTTCAACAATGCTGAAAGCGTAATGATTCTGAAATCATGTCGAATAAATTGAATTGAAATCTAATATATAAACTAGATTGTAAACACATTTTGCTTCAGTTAGCATAAGAAATATAAATAGCTTATACAAAGCAGAGCGATAGGATTGATATTATATGTATATACTTTTCGTTTTTATACTTTGCCTTTTTGACAATTTGAACTACTGACACTTCCTGCCAGACTTTGAGACATTTGAGATATTAAGTTTTATGAATATGTTATGGTGTTACAAAAATGTTCAATACTTTAATACTGATAAGCTGTCTTTATTTGGGGCACTTCGGACTTTTGATGTTGCAATGTTTTACATGCAATATTTTTATACTTCACTTTATCTGGTGTCGAGAAGGGAACACCCATGACGTCTTGACGGACGGCAGGAATCAAAATGACGTCAACGTCAATACCATTACTTGTATAATTTTGAGAAAATAAAAATATAGAATAAAGACACAACGCAAATCTTTGAAGGTCGGACTCGGAACATTTATTTTCAAAACTAACAGTTCTCATGCACTTAAAACAATTCCATTCCGGCCCAAATCTCGAAAAAAAAAAAATGCCTTTGGACTTGTTCAAGTGATAATATTAGGAAATGTTACACATTCAATATTCTCGTAGCTGACAAATGTACTTCGATCTCATTCCAATGTCTTAACACAAATTAGAAACTATAAATGTTAGTTTTTGATATACAGGTATTAATTTAGCATAATAAGATACCACAAAACATCTTATTTATACATTCATTAGAGCAATACTTCAACAGTGTTGGTTTATCATATGAAACATTTTGTTTGAAGAGTTTACCAGATGGCCGTGAAGTACGCGGGGTAACGGGCTAGCAGTGTGGCGGGCTGTCAGTGTGACCTGGGCGGGCTAGCAGTCTAGCGGGCTAACAGTGTGAACTGGGCGGGCTAGCAGTCTAACAGTGTGAACTGGGCGGGCTAGCAGTCTAGCGGGCTAACAGTGTGAACTGGGCGGGCTAGCAGTCTAGCAGTCTAACAGTGTGAACTGGGCGGGCTAGTAGTCTAGCAGTCTAACAGTGTGAACTGGGCGGGCTAGCAGTCTAGCAGTGTGAACTTGGCGGGCCAGCGGGCTAAACTCTAAAACTTAACTGATTTAACATGAAAACGTTATGATACATATCCTAGCAGTGTGAAGTGGGCGGGCTAACAGTGTAGCGGGCTAGCAGTGTGAACTGAGCGGGCTGGCGGGCCAGCGGGATAAACTTTAATACTTAATTGAATGAACATGAAAACGTTATGATACATTTCCTAGCGGTGTGAAGTGGGCGGGCTAACAGTGTAGCGGGCTAGCAGTGTGAACTGAGCGGGCTGGCGGGCCAGCGGGATAAACTTTAATACTTAATTGAATCAACATGAAAACGTTATGAAACATTTCCTAGCAGTGTGAAATGGGCGGGCTGGCGGGTCAGCGGGCTAAACTTTAATACTTAATTGAATCCACATTAAACTTCATGATACGTTTCCTAGCAGTGTGAAGTGGGCGGGCTAACAGTGTAGCGGACTAGCAGGGTGAACTGGGCGGGCTGGCGGACCAGCGGGCTAAACTTTAATACTTAATTGAATCAACATGAAAACGTTATGAAACATTTCCTAGTAGTGTGAAGTGGGCGGGATGTATATTTCGTACAATGACAAAAGTTTGTCCATACAAATAAGGCTTCTAGGAATCTTCCTTATTTCATTCTCTTGAAGGACACCTTAACGATCTCGTTTCTAAAACGTAATTTACGACATCGTATATGCAAATATGTGACTTTGTGTAGTTAACATATGATCCTTCTAATGTATTAAGTCGACTTTGAAGAGTATCCAAATAGGCTAGAACTTCTGTCAACTGTATAGAAACTGAGGGGCGTGGGTTCAAGCCCCAGAAGAGGCAGCTTTTTCCCTTAAAATATTATTTATATGTCTCTCATATCACTCTTGGTAAGAAAAAAGTGTCTCATTTTGATTATAAAATTATTATCGGTATTTATTGGCTAAATTATGCCAAATTTATTATCAAATATGGTACCTGATATTTTCAAAGTCTAATAAAATAAACACTAGACGGCAAAAGTATTTTATATTTGACAAGACCAACCAATTTACATGTACGTTTTAGAAAATTTAGGCAATCTTTGTAAGCAGGCCCTCATTTTGGTAAATTTTAGGTGTATTTTGAACAATGCACCGCAAGTAGGAAAATAGGTCAAACGACTATTTAAAATGTGCGGGGTAGGGTAACATTTGTATACATATTTCAAACATTTTGAGTAGAAACAATCATAGCATAGCCTGGTTTTGACATTGATGCATACATATTTTGCAGTATTTTATATCATAGTTGAAATAAGTTTTAAAAAATGGCGGTCTCAATAAAATTGAGGACAAATTTTTCTACAAATGAACTTGAGGTACTTGCAAGAGAGGAATGTGAGAGCAAGGCAGTTCTTTTCAGCAATTTTTTCTGAAATAATCACAAATGAAAAGAAAACAAAAACGGGTCCAGATAATAGCAAAAGTGACATTAATCTGTCGGTGTTGAGTGTGATGCACTGGTTGTCTGGTCTTTCTGAGCATAAAACTGTTCATTGTTATGTTCTAAAATTTTATATTAAATTTTGAAAAAAAAAACATCCCGGTAATCACATTGAAAAGACATGACCTATTTAAATAACAATGAAAGGGCTGTATTAAAGTTTTTAGCGGATCCATGATGAATATTAGAACAAACAGAACAGAACAGAACAAAATCTTTATTGTAGACTTGAGCTCTACGCTCCTCGTCTATATAAATACAATACATATAATACAAAAGTCAAATCAATTACAACATGAGTACAGAGAGAGATAAATAGAGGATATTGAATGAGTGTAAGTTCAATACTGAATTTATTGCACGAGTTGAATAAAATTATATTATGCGAGCCTCTGGCGAGCATAATATTATTTTATTCAACGAGTGCAATAAATTCAGTAATGAACTTACACGAATTCAATATTCTATTTATCACATACCCAAAATATAGACCGTTTATAGTGAAATAAGAGTCATTTTTCATTGACGCGCCTATAGTATAACGCTAGCATTTAGCGCGTCTTTACACTATGTTTGTATAACGCTAATGACGTCACGTCAAAATATATGCACGGCCGTGCAATACCATATTTACGGAGTCGCAAAATCGGCACGGGTGTGTGATAAATAAACTTTCTAAATAACATTTTATGTGTAACAGAAACAGTACAAATCGCCACAGTAACTCTGGCAATTTCTGAATATAACGTATTTAATGTTGTTGTTTGTTTTTTTAACAAATGTCACTAGTGGAGGTTATGCAAACATCAAATTATAGCAGTTCGTTGGATCTGATTTTTAAAGCACAATTAAGATAGCATGCTAATTTGTTTAAAACATCTATGTTTGTGACTGACATTAATTCGAGAAATTTAAACATGCTAGGTCGTTCATAATAATAATTGTCAATGTAACGTTTCCTAATCCATTTATACTTGGAACACATAATAACAAAATGGAACTCATCTTCAATATCAGAAGAATTACATAGTTCACAACGTCTTTCAGTTCTTTCAATTCTATTTTGTCCATACCTTCCTGTTTCGATGCGTAATTTGTGAGCGGATAATCTAAATTTTGTAATAAGTTGTCTAAATAATTTGTTTTTAACAGAACTCAGGTAACCCTCGTATTTGAAGTCATGTTTAATATGCTAATATTACGGTGGCATAGAGGTGACATTTGCAGTTTTATTTTATCTCGTGGCCACGACTTATTATCTTGAGGCCTCAAGATATTATCTCGTTGCCACGACTTATTATCTCGTGGCCACGACTTATTTTCTTGTGGCCTCAAGATATTATCTCGTGGCCACGAGTTATTATCTTGTGGCCACGACTTATTATCTCGAGGCCTCAAGATATTATCTCGTGGCCACGAGTTATTATCTCGTGGCCACGAGTTATTATCTTATGGCCTCAAGATATTATCTCGTGGCCACGAGTTATTATCTTGTGGCCACGACTTATTATATTGAGGCCACGACTTATTTTCTCGTGGCCACGAGTTATTATCTTGAGGCCTCAAGATATTATCTCGTTGCCACGACTTATTATCTCGTGGCCACGACTTATTTTCTTGTGGCATAGAAGTGACATTTGCAGTTTTATTTTATCTCGTGGCCACGACTTATTATCTTGAGGCCTCAAGATATTATCTCGTTGCCACGACTTATTATCTCGTGGCCACGACTTATTTTCTTGTGGCCTCAAGATATTATCTCGTGGCCACGAGTTATTATCTTGTGGCCACGACTTATTATCTCGAGGCCTCAAGATATTATCTCGTGGCCACGAGTTATTATCTCGTGGCCACGAGTTATTATCTTGTGGCCTCGTGGCCACGAGTTATTATCTCGTGGCCACGAGTTATTATCTTGTGGCCTCGTGGCCACGAGTTATTATCTTGTGGCCACGACTTATTATATTGAGGCCACGACTTATTTTCTCGTGGCCACGAGTTATTATCTTGTGGCCACGACTTATTTTAGCCAATGAAAATGGTCGTTTCATCTTGAACAAAATTTAATATCACACTGGCAATAGCAGTCACAGGAGGGGCGTGTCAATCACCACCATATATTTACTTAAGTATTTTCCCAGAGACGTGCTGAATTTCAGTAAGGCTTATCAGCTAGTATATCACTATTAACTGTATTGACCACATTAACACGTCCACTGAGTAGAGTCTTGTCATCACTAATTGGCCCTCTGTATTCTTATCTTATGGTCCTAACGTTTAAGGATCAAGTTTCTATAGATGCAGTTTTTCATAAAATACACTCACTTTTATAAGTGGTCATCACCAGTAGGAAGTTAGCAGTAGCATTGAGCAGTAGCAGTAACAAAATTATAAAACATGAAGTTGGCAGTAGCAGTAGCACAGAAGTAGCAGTGAGAAAATTATAAAACGTGAAATTGGCAGTAGCAATAGCACAGCATAAGCAGTACCAATCAAAGAGGAGATCTTAAAAGAATTGACATATGTCTTTGAAACTTGTATACTAGTATGTCAGTTTTTATAATAAAAAAAAGAAAAAGATTCAGATAACCCGTCAAAGTTAGTCATTTATCATTGTGACATTGTAGTATATCTTCAATAATAACTATCTAGATACAAGTCTTTAAAGGGATTCGAATCCACAGGGAAAAGGGGCAAGTTATTTCCATGAACGACCTTAAAAGTATACATCAACCGCATATATTTCTTAATTAAATCTCAATTAAATTAGATATACCGTGCTCATCCTTGAAAATTAAAATCACAGATTTTTTTTAAATCTATGGTATTCTAACTTAATGCGTCTAACTTGAATAAAGAAATCAATAAACTATGTACAGGAAGCTGCGTTCCCTATAACAGGTCAGGTAATCTTTACTTAAAAAAACTGACAATATATATATTCATGGTGAACACCTATACTGTGTAGAATTTTAAACATAACATATCTACTATCTTTGAAGTCAAAACATGTTCATTTTATGTTTACATGTACAAAGGGACAATGTAACAATTATCAATATTTTCTAATATTAAATTTAAGCAAAGTATATCTGTAAAGAAGAATGAAAGAAACACCTGACCATACAAAAAAGAAGAATAATAATTATTATAAAACGTTCCCTTTCTTCACCGCCGCAGCGCTTGACCCGCCGCTCTTGTGAAAGCTGTGGCCAGTGTGATATAAGGTCTTATTGATATTAACTTTTGTTCAAGATGAAACGACCATTTTCATTGGCTGAAATAAGTCGTGGCCACAAGATAATAACTCGTGGCCTCAATATAATAAGTCGTGGCCACAAGATAATAACTCGTGGCCACGAGATAATATCTTGAGGCCACAAGATAATATCTTGAGGCCACAAGATAATTACTCGTGGCCACGAGATAATAAGTCGTGGCCACGAGATAACATCTTGAGGCCACAAGATAATAACTCGTGGCCACGAGATAATAAGTCGTGGCCACGAGATAATATCTTGAGGTTACAAGATAATAACTCGTGGCCACGAGGTAATAACTCGTGGCCACAAGATAATAACTCGTGGCCACGAGATAATATCTTGAGGCCACAAGATAATAACTCGTGGCCACGAGATAATAAGTCGTGGCCACGAGATAATATCTTGAGGCCACAAGATAATAAGTCGTGGCCACGAGATAAAATAAAACTGCAAATGTCACCTCTATGCCACCGTATAATATACAGTTAACACTCTGTTGTTATCTAAGCTACTTTTCCATTCTTGAGTGAAACAGTCTAACAAACGCTGTTTAAATAGGGTATGTAAGTCTCGTCATGTGACTTGCGAGATTTCACGATATTTTGCACTTCCGGGTACAAACAAATATCAACAACATTGCTTATCTATATTGGGTAATACTTGTATGCCGGTGGGAAAGTAAAACTTACATGGAAAAGCAAATGATATGTGGAAATTGGCAGAGTTTTTTGTTTTGTAATGAAATGCAAATGGTTTCATCTTGTGAACAAGTATCAATGATTTCAAGACAACTTCGTATAATCTTCAGGTGGGTGTGTCATTTCAAATTCAGTTTATCCCAAGTTTATTGCAAGAGAAAGATAAAGTAAAAATTTTAGGTGTTATTTTAGATTCTGAATTGTCATTCAAAGAACATATAGAATACACTGAAAGAAAAGGCACTAAAGCATTGGCTTCCTTGATGTCAGTAGCCAAAACAGAGAAGATCAGCGTCAAAAATATGATAAATCTTTATACAAGCTTGGTTCTACCTCAACTGGAGTATGCAGTCCCTATTTGGCAGATTGCCAACTGTCAGCCCCTGGACAAGATACAAAGGAAAGGTTTAGCTTACTGCCTTGGATTACACAACACAGCCAGTAAAGATGCAGTTGAAGTATTGGCTGGAGTTCTTCCACTTGATTTGAGGCGAGAAGAACTGAGTATTCGAGAATGTGGGAAAATAATGGCAAAAGGAATTAGGCAAAACATTGCAAAAAGTTTAAAAAGCTGTCAAGATAGGTATGGAAAAGTCAGAGAAAAATTCCAATCTCCATTCTTTTGCATGCTCACACAGGTAGAGGACATGAAATCATTAACCACCATCACACTGAACAGTATTGAACCAGAGTTTTCATACCTTGAATACCTGCAACCATCTAGAACCAGACCAGATTATTGGAACAATCTAGGATCCTCCAAATCAAGAACTGTTAAACAAGAAGAAGATGCAAGACAACACATCTCATCACTTCTATCTGATGTAGATACCAAAACAGCTGTAGCATTTACTGATGGTTCCTGTAGAGGAAATCCAGGTCCATGTGGTGCTGGAGCCTGCATTCTTCTTCCAAACACAGAAGTTATAGAACTGAAACAACCAGTATCAAAGTTATCATCAATTTTAGTAGGAGAACTGGTTGCCATTAAAATAACACTTCAAGCCCTACTTACTGAGATTGGAAGATTTGAAATAAATAAGATAAAAATACTTAGTGATAGTCAGTCCGCTGTTGGAATTATTGATCTTGGCTGGGAAAATAAGACGCACAAATTCCTGTCAACAGAGATACTCCAGTTGAGGAAAGAGCTTGAATTAGCAGATGTTACAGTCAATTTTGATTGGACTCCTGGTCATGCTGGCATAAAAGGGAATGACATTGCTGACGGACTTGCAAAAGAAGCAGCAAAAGAAGCTGAGGAAATGGAAACAGAAGATTCACTCCTTGTAACAAGTCAAAGTGACATTCGCCACTCAGCTAGAGAATCAGTCCGCATTAAATGGCAGAGAAGATGGGAAATTGTTGAAACTGGCAGGCATCTCTATGGACTCAAGCCTCAAGTCCAGCCCAAAAAAATTAACTTCCATGGCTTGAGCAACCAAAGACAGTTACTTCAACTACAAAGTGGATATTGCCTCAATGATTATCTGAACAAGATTGGGGCCACAAACACAAGTCTATGTAATTGTGGAGAAGTTGAGACAGTAACACATTTTATAGAGGACTGTACCCTGTATGAGGCATCAAGAGAAAACCTGAAGAAAGAAATATTCCTAAAGACAGGAATAAGTGTATTTACAAAAGAACTATTGCTTTCAGACATCATGAAGACCAATTCAAAGACCATAGGCAAGAGTTGTCAAATATTGCAAATGAATTTGTCAAATTATCCAAAAGATTTTAATTTTTTTTTTTTTTTTTTTTTTTTTTTTTTTTTTTTTTCTTTCATCCAAAAAGATTTTTTTCCCCTTTCAGTTTACATTCTATTTCATAATTATTATTAAATTATTGTAACCCTACTTGAGAGTTTTTTACCGTAATCGGAAATACCAGAGTTTAGCTGTACATACCGGAGTGACAACACGGCCATTATCAAGGCTTTGAACGAAACGAAACGTAAATGTTGTAATATTTTCATTTCCATGTAAATCTAAAAAATTTGTTTTTTTTGATACAACATCATTCGCATCTGACACCAGACTTGTGAATTCGATTTTATCAATTTTCCATAGCGCTACCTGATTATCTCTCAGAAGTATATAATGTTTAAAAATTTCGGACAGCGCATATTTCGGATAAACGTTTCAATATGATTATCAGTGTGTTTTAGTTGAATATATTTTCTTCCAACTGAAAATATTATTTAATTATAATTATTATCTTTATAAAGCATAAACAGTCAAGCTGTATATAACCAATATAAATTGTCATAAAATTCAATGAAATATTTTGCTCCTGTAGATATTTTGACTGAGGACAGTGGTGAGATGAAAGACGTCAGTATCCATTGTAAATACACATGCATGCTCTGCTGTAAAATCGTTTTTGTAAGAAATATATACTTAAAGCTACTTAAACTACATAAATGAAAAATAAATATTATTGTATAACATATAATGTTCTCGTTTTTGTAAATAATTACAGTGTAGCTAAATAAACAAACAGTATGGCATATGTAGTTAATTCATGTTAAATACTGTTTAAAGTATTTTTCTCAAGTAAGTGGGTCATATTTTTTAGTTAAATCATGTTCAGTAAATGGTTAAAAGAACTTAGTCACTATCACATTTTTTAAAGATCAGTTGCCAAAGCAAATCTATAAAAACTAGGACACCAAGAAGTGTTTCTTCCTTTTCAACATTATTTTCTATTCATGACAATATGAAAATGATTGAAATTTATAGCTGACCAATTATTATTGCTTTCAACTCATGATAAATTTTCTTTATATACTGGTATGTGATTTCATGGTTGGATCTTGAGTACTTGTCATGGCTCTTGATTTATTTTGGAGTGTTCACCATCAGATTAGAAATCAAATAGTGATACCACCAGGCATAGTTGAAAGGAAATGTCCATACACAGTCTTGGAGTACATAGTGGTAGAGACATGGCAGTCCATTACAGATTTTGACTGAATTAAAGCTTCTTAAAGCTCCATGTCTTGTGTAAACTGTCTGACTGAATGTTTGTATTCTAATAAAAACTAAGGTTGAAGACACTTCAAAGATATATGTCAGTGTAAAAATGTTAAACAAAATATCTGTCTTTGTTAGAAATAAATAACCTGTCTTTATTAGAAATAAATAACCTGTCATTTGTAACTTTGTATTAACTTAATTATTCAAAGATAATTTATCTTCTGCAAATGGCTGCCCAAAACAGTTTCAACCAGGCATCATGTAGTTTCAAAACAGTTAAGATAAATTTGTTATAAATAGACTTGTAAATAAACAGGAGTGGTAAAAAAATAAATTTTCAGCATTAAAATGTTTCTATCTTGATTGAGTTTCATTTCATATTATCACCATGATCACTGCAATTATAAAGAAATGTAATCTTTAACCATTATTTAAATATCATAAAAATCATCTCAAAGAAAAACTTGTTTCTGAGGCAAGATATGTAAAATTACTTCCAGTTATAGCCTTTCACTGCTCTTAGAAAAGTCATGATTTTCATTGTACATGGCAGGTAGTAATACCAGAGTAAACAATATTAATGCAATTCATCTGTGTTGAGTATTCTGTAGCATCACTAGCTTGATAGCCCTTCTAAGCCCAAGTCTCCCTCTTAATTGGAGTAGACTTGCAATTCTGCATTCCTTGAAGATTTTAGTATCAGAGGGGTAGTTATTACATACCATATACTTCTTTGGGTTTCAAATTACCTGTTTTATAATGTATTGAACCTGTTGACATTTGACCAAAAGTGAATTATCTATACAATACATGCAAAACTTAGGGTTTGCACTTGATACAAAACAATTACATCACTGATACATTAATATACCCATTGGAACTGTTTCAAAATTGTCAATGTTTAAAAAAAAACCCCAAAAAAACACAACACAATGCTTTTAACTTCTGTCCATGTACATATGTGTAAATGTAGTCATTGAAGAGCTGTCAAGAACTTTTCATCAATATTATTTAGATAGTGTCTGTTTTGATTTCAGGACAGACAATATTCAAATGACATGCATAGTATTTAATATAGTCAATGCTTGCATATTCAAGCAATCTAGCCATTGCTGTTAGAGAATTAAAGTACACAGTGACACTTATTTTGCAGATGAACTCTTATGATCAAGCACTGCTATAAATATATGCCAAATAGTAGAAACAAAAACAGTTCATAAGTTTAATAAACTTTTAATTTTACACAATTTATAGTGCACTGCTTAGCATATATATCACACTGATTTTCCAGTGGCAGAAAAACTTTAGGAAAGCACTTGGAATTATAATTAGTTATTTGGACAATGTAACTTTACACTGTGAATGTCTACTGATACAAGAATAAGAATATTTCCTTTTACAAATGTAAAGACTTTGAAAATTAACATGAACAAATTATCAAAGAGTTATAAATCATATTCTAATTGAAAAATGTTCAGCTTGATATCAAAGCTTTGATTGCAAATTTGTGAGCTAATCAATGATTACCTCACAATATTAGTAGTAGATGATATATATTTTTGCTAATCTTTACTTCATAGTCATTTAATGTCCATAATGTCATATGACTATACTGTGATTCCATGAAAAAACCTTATCTCTGGTGTGTTATCATCTTTGGTATATATAGAGTATCTAGTTTTAATACTTAAAACTGCAATGAAATGTGGATATTTTACTCTGTTTCTATCATTGTGACATTAACATGTTAAAAAGATCATAGTGTCAAACACCATAAAATCATACTCTTTATACATTAAGATTTTTTGTGCTGGATGTCATTCATCTTCTTCAGGAAAGTACATTTGACTATTCTCAGTGGCTTATATTAAACTAATATTTCACTGTAACTGTGTGTTCTCTGATATCATTCTCAAATTAAGGAACTGGAAGATGGTAGTTGCAATAAAGGTCTTCATGGACAAATCCTCCTTCATATTTTCCCTTTTTATCTGCAGAATGAAAAATCAATAAATACAATGTATGTTATTACAGGTGTAAGACACTAGAAATGATATTTACATTACATTTAATAAGCTGGTCATGATTGACAGAAAAATTTCATATTTGAAGTAAATAAACGTTAAAGATAAACAACAACACATAATATATAACAGTCAAAAATATTGATCTTCTTGAATGTGAAACATGACTATTTTTAATGTTTTATTTACTTATCAATTATCATGCAGTGAAATCCAAAAGTTATTAAATTATAATAATATATTTTGATAATTGTTTATCTTTCCGATCTCAACTAAAAATTAATCAATTATTTTACATGTATTTACCTTTGATGTATAGATATTTCAGGATCATAGGCAGTGCAAACAGTTGATTAATGGTCCATATTGAACAACTGTATATTCTATATACTTGTCATATACCTCCTTGTCTATACATCTGAAATGGTTTAATCAAATATTATATTTTTTAATTCAATCATAATTTGCTAGGTACCATATTAACATGTATATATAATTGAAAAAGGAACAAGAATAAAATGGAAGGGAAAAATATCCGAATTACTATGCAATGTCCGAATTTTGAATAACTTTAATATACACTAGAATTAAAGTGTTTCTCCATTGTTTATTTCAATAAGTTAAAATGGTTTGAATTAATTTCTAACATCAGTAGTTTTAAAACAATACTAAAAGCTAAACAACTAGAATTCACTACCTTGACAAAACATCCGAAACAATTGTCACTATCCGAAAATAAACTAGTTTTATTAAACTCTATAAATCCCTCGTTTTTCCGTCAGATAATTGACCTACCTGCATTTTTTTACCCGTGCTATCCATTCCTTCAAATCTGAAGAGGACCGAAACAAATTTAACTTCTATATCCCTCGAGTTCTTCGGGTTACCTATATGCGTAACGGTAAATAAGTCTGCCGATGTACCCGGAAGTGGTAAATCGAAAGTGAAAGTAAACGAGACTTACGGGCCCTATTGTATAATAAATGTGGCTTCATTACAATTTAAAGGGTTTTCCCAAACATACCCATAACCAAACGTATATAACATTGATTTTACATTTGACAACCAATTAGTTTTATTCTTTTGTACGTTTTCCAGCATAATTGAATACACCGTTTTTAAAACACAATTACTAGTTTTTAACACTTTAAACCAAAATTTAAGCACTTTAATGTAGCGATTGATATACAGCGGGAATCGTCCTAATTCACCATATACACCAGCATTACTTGTGGATATCTTAACATTTAATACTCGTTTGCAGAACTTTAAGTGTATACGCTCCATCTCTTTACATTTGGTAAAACCCCACACCTCAGCTGAATAATTTAAAATCGAGGTTACAAACGAATCGAATAAACTACACATAGTTTTTTGGGAAAAACTCGAACTCTTTCGTATTAACTAATAATGTATTCATTGCTTTAAGCGCTTTACCCACTAACATTTGGGAATTAAGATTAAATCCACCATTTGAACCAAATACGACACCTAGATAGTTAAAGTTATCGACTGTTTCTAATGTAATTCCATCGTATGTCCATTTCTCATCATCATGTAATCTTCCACTCTTTCGAAATACCATCACTTTGGATTTTTCCGTGTTTACTTTCAAACCCCATCGATTATAATATGTGTTTAAGTCATTTAAACTCAGTTGAAGATCCTCGATGTTATCCGATAATAGCACCATATTGTCTGCATATAGGAAAAGGATTAGTGTTATATCGCCATAATTAAGACCACTTCCTGGTCTAGATCCTAGGAATAATTCTAGGTCTTCAATAAACATATATAGACCAGAAAAGAGGTGAACAGATTTCTCCTTGTTTTAGACCAACGATTAAGTCCATGAAATCCGAATATTGGTTACAGTGCCTGACACGGCATCTCACGTATTCATACATTGATCTTATAATCTGTAGCATTTTACCATTTATTCCAAGTTTATACATTTTAAACCATAAAGCATTTCTGTAAACGCTGTCAAAACACTTTTTCATATCTATAAATGTAGCATAAAGTCTTTTCCCATTATTAAAACTACTTTCTATTATACTATTTAAACAGAAAATCGCATCTGTAGTGGAAAACCCCTTTTTAAATCCAAATTGTGAGTCTGAAATAACACCATGCGTAAAACAACACTGAGATAATCCAGCATTTAGAATAGAAGTAAACAATTTTGCTAGAACACTGATTAATGTAATTCCCCTATAGTTATTCACGTCATTTTCGTCGCCTTTCTTGAAAAGCGGTATTCTTATCCCATCCATCCAGGCAGAAGGAAAATAGCCACTGGAGAATATCTTGTTAAATAAGTCAACCAAGTGTGACGTGAGAATATCACTCCCTTCAATTAAATATCCATTTATAATTTCATCACTCGATGCCGCCTTTCCACGTTTAAGACCTTTGATCGCTCGATATACTTCAGAGCTTGTAATAACAACATCCAGCTCCTCAAATATAGGGTTGTTCGCAGTCAGGTTTTCACTACAAAATTGCTCGCTGTTTTCATTAAAAGTAATATTTATTTCTTGTGAAAGATTCTTGAAGTACTCGTGAATTGTTCAACAGATATACTACCCACTTTCATATCTTTTTTCTTTGAAAAGTATTTCCAAATCAGCAAATCTTGACTTCATTGCGCAAAAGACTGGGTCAAATGTATTCCAGATTTTAAAAAAAGTTTTTAATGCAAATATACTTAGTTGTTTCAAAAAAATATTATTTCTCTCACGTGTCAGAGTTTCTTACACCCCGTTTCTTAACGATACGAACTGGTGTAGCATAGTGAAATTCCCTCTGGCACGCAAGAATGCTACAATCATCGCTTATATTTGTTTGTCTGGCTTTGCTCGCCAACTTTAACAATTTATTTATTTACAGACATTACATTTCGGTCAGAAATCTATAATTAGTTTTTTTTTTACTGGCCGTTGCGCTTACACGTTAAATTGCTCTGTAGAATTTTGTGTTTTTTAGTGGAAATAACTCATATTTCAAATAACTTTTTGTGAAAAAACAGTGTCAGAGTTAATACATGTATACGGATTTTACAGGTAAAATCAGGTGTACCAGGTGGGTCAACACAAGATGGCGGATCTCGTGCACGGACAGATTGGTCAGTGGTCAAGCGTAAAAGAAGATCTACAGGGGTTCGTACGCAGACATTTGTGATAATAGCAATAATAGCAGTATGAAAAATACTAAATGCGTATCTAAAAATGAATTTGTGAAAATGGACACTGATCAGAAACTTAATGCCTTGTATGATATGATTGCTAATAGTAGTGGGTTGACGCAACGTCTGCAAGCCGTCGAAACAAAACTTGACAATATGGAAGTAGAACATGATTAAACTAAATATTACCTAAAAACCCTACAATACAAGAGTATAGACCAAGAGGCTAGAAGCCGTAGAAACAATCTCATATTCAGAGGGATTCAAGAGCTGTATTTGAATGAGAACTGTGAAGATACGCTTGCTGGCTTCCTTGAGCAGTATCTAGATATTGATACCACTAGCATCTGTGTAGAAGACTGCCATCGAATTGGAGCACCACGTGGTAAGACTAGACCAATTATTTGTACCTTCTCACAGAGGAAAGATGTTGAATATATCCTCTCAAAAGCCAACCTTTTGAAAAACACAAATTATGGAATAAATAGAGATTATCCCCAGGAAATAGTTGCTGCACGAACTAAAATTTGGCCAGAGTACAAAAAGCAACGCAGTATCCATAGTAAAAAGGGTCAAGTATTCATAGGCTATCCCGCAAAGCTCATAGTAAACAGAAAGGTTGTCCAGGACGAATTCCCAGATTGGAAGGAAACCATACAAAGGCCAAGAACCATAAATAGCGAACATATGACAAATAGCATAAATAAACAAAGTGAATATGCACATATACAGGTATCATCGAACAGCAAACAGACCGCTATCAATATTGACAGTGATACAGTCGTCGAAATGCAATCAGAAAATTCAGACCATAGTGATTCTGAGAGCACTAATAGTATCAACGATGTTTACTCTCAGGAAATGCAGAAAATGCATCACAGACTATCGCGAAAAAATACCAATGCACCTTTAAACCTAAGCAATAAATTCGCAATGTTATACGAGGAAGGAGAATCCTCTACCGATGAGCGCACCTCAAAAAAACCACCTGCTGATGACTCTTCAGGCCATGGGAAAACAACAGGAAAAACTCATACAACAGCAAAATCGAATGTCAGTGTTTCCTGCTAGGAACTCGGGGGATTATCAAGAACTATAAACATAAATAACAGTGTAAGTTCTTCTGCGACAAGCTCTAGTGATATACATTGCAACCTCTCATGTAGAAACTACTCATCCTGTAACTAGTGATAACTCTGAAACAGACTATAGCGATTGTGAAAATTCCCACGCTTATGTAAACACCGATTGTAGAACTGACCACAGGGACCCAGCACAGTGTTGGGATAGTGTAAAAAAGTAATTCTAAAAAAAAATATATACCTTATATATAATATATAGACAAGGGGTTGAACTCGCCAAATCGGCCGATTGTCACTAGTCCAGTACAAGTCAAAATTACAAAGTCATTTTTACGTAAATCATATAAAGCTATATATCAAATTGCAGGTAAATGACATCACTAGACGTTGACAATAACATTATTGTCCCCACTTAAACCGTTTTTGAACAACAAACCGATATTTCAGATGGAAAATCGTATTTTTGCTAGGTCGGACACGACCGTGTAACCAGTCCCGACTCAATTTTCTACGTGTAAAAACGCAATTCCAAACAACGACAGTGTATCATCCCGCAATAAATCGATAAAACACATTCAAAGAAACAACTTACCGCTAAATATTGATCCAAAACCAATCAATTACAGGTAACATTCGGGTTTTTTTTATCACTCTTCCGTGAAAATAAACAGCTGAAGACATGTTCCTGTCCGAGATAAATACTCGGCTCCGGTTGTAAGACGCCTTTTGATTGGACGATTCTGTGTCCCAGCTCAGCTATCTATTTCAATGCTGAATTCGGGTTCCAAGGCACGTGAATTTTAGCGCTAATTTTGAAAGTCCGTAATTATTTTGTGAAAACAACTTATTCTTTCAGCTTTTCAACAATTCGTTCCTGATTCATAGCGAAAATGCTTGTAAACTGGTAAGATTGTATGTTCCGTGGAAATAATGACATTAAAAGTACTTGACACATTAAATTTACACAAGAATTGTCCATTGTTTACATTGCATTTCAAAGGATTATATGCAGGATTCTATGCATATACATGTATATATGGCCTATATCAATATAAATAACAGTGTGGAAAGTTGGAAACTCCTTTTTTAGGTATACTATTCAAAGAACCCATTTAGTGGCGTCCCCGTGATAAAGTTTATTCATATAAGCTGGTATCTCCATAGCTACTAAAAGGAATGGATTGAAAGTTCATATTCTTCTACTCTGTGATTATCTACAAGAGCGATCAGTAATCACATGTGTCGCCTCATGATGGCCAATTTCATGTTGGGACAAAGTTTGTGACAGACGGACAGACAGACGGACAGTGCACAACTAGACTTGGTACTGATCATTCCTGTAAAGTTTGGATAAAATTGCACCAGTAGTTTATGAGGAGTAGTCCGGACAAGCTTTTGCATATCTGGCAACACACAGAAAAAACACCTTTTTATCAAAGGACCATAACTCGGCCTTAAATCATTCAACCGGAAAACCCGTGCAATATGCTCAAGGACTTGAGCTACAGATCAATCCTGTAAAGTTTCATTGAAATTGCTTTAGTGGTTTAAGAGAAGTAGTCCGGACAAACTTTAAAAATAAAAATTATTAAAGGGCCATAACTCTGACAAAAATCATTGAACCGGAAAATGCTGACAATATGCACAACTAGACTTGGTACTGATCATTCCTGTAAAGTTTAGATGAAATTGCACCAGTAGTTTATGAGGAGTAGTCCGGACAAGCTTTTGTGTATCTGGCAACATACAGAAAAATACACCTTTTTTATCAAAGGGCCATAACTCGGCCAAAAATCATTCAACCGGAAAACCCTTGCAATATGCACAAGGACTTGAGCTACAGATCAATCCTGTAAAGTTTCATTGAAATTGCTTTAATGGTATAAGAGAAGTAGTCCGGACAAACTTTAAAATTAAAAATTATTAAAGGGCCATAACTCAAACAAAAATCATTGAACCGGAAAATGCTGACAATATGCACAACTAGACTTGGTACTGATCATTACTGTAAAGTTTGAGAGAAATTGCACCAGTAGTTTATGAGGAGTAGTCCGGACAAGTTTTGTGACGGACAGACGGACAGACAGACGGACAGACGGACAGACAGACGACGGAGAAGTGATCCCTATATGTCGCCACTACTCCGTAGAGGCGACACAAAAATGATTGATACAAGTACCATAACTCTGATTTGCTTTTTTGCATATTTATGCCCCTTTTTCGACTTAAAAATGTTTTTGCGTGTAAGCTGGTATTTCAATAACTTCTCAAGGGTTTGTACCTTTTTTGAGACAATTTCATGTATTCATATAGGTAAGCATTATTATATTAT